AGAATTATAGTTAGGTGGTTTTTTTTCGGAAGGCGGGTTGGGGGGGGGGGGGCGGGGGGCCAGAGCCCGGGTTAGGAACGGTACTCAGGGATGTGTCAGTCTTCACGCTGCTGTACTCACCGAAATCGAAGCCGCAGACCCTAAACCCTAAAACCCCAAACCCTGAACCCTGAACCGCGCTAGGCAGCCTGTGACAAGAATGGCTGGGAGTGGGTGCCTCAGTGCTGCCCCTGCTGTCACAGTAGCCTTCAAGGTTACCCTGTTCATGCCACGAAGTAGATGCGCCCTTCGGTCCGCAAAAAATCGTGTGCTTAAGGGGTGCCGGGGCTCGCCCCTAATAAGGGCTTGCAAGTGGTACCACGCACCTCGCTGGTTACCTCGAAGGGGTGTCCCAACCTCCGAATCGCCTAAGGTGGTGCTGGGATGTGGACGAGAAAGCGCGAAGAGAGAAGCTGGAGGTGCAGATGTCGAGTTTTAGGAGGGTTTTGGGTCCATATAGCCTTCAGGAGTTCAGAGTTTGCAGGGGATTTTGGGGGCTTATGGGTTCCAAGGTCTATTTCTACCATCTTTTGCCGGTGCATTTGGGGAGTTGCCCCTTGGGATGCCCTAAACCCTAAACACTCAACCCTATAAACCCAAACCCTAAACCCTAAGCCCTAAACCCTACGAAATGCCCCCTGTTTTGGCCAGGCGGAAGATGCTTCTGACGAGAAGATCAGCGCGTGGAAAGCGAAGCTCAAGGCTCCGGAGAGTCCGCGAGGGAGAGCATGAAGTTCGCAAGCACCAGGACCTCAAATTGGAAGGTTGTGTATCAACATACTCTAGGTCTAGCTGGGTGAGGGACGGTTGCCGATGCTTCTATGAACTTTTGTCGCGAGGGCCAAACTGTCGTTCTGCACAATGCAGAGGGTTTTGGAATCGGAAGACCACTCCTAGTGACCTGCAGTACTTACATCCTTACACCTCAATTTCGCAGACGTTGAGATTGCCCCTCATGCGGGCAAGCAGCTCTCTCTTTTTTTTGCGTTCCGGAGGAGCCCTTCGCAGCACTTCGTTTCTGCACTGCGGGCCCAAGTTTAGGGTTTAGGGTTTAGGGTTTAGGGTTTAGGGTTTAGGGTTTAGGGTTTAGGGTTTAGAAGCATCACGCCAGGCCATGGCCGAAGGACCTACAGAAGGCGTGAAGGTCCCAGCAGGCCAGTTGTCGCGACCCTTATAACCAGGATGGGCTATTAAAGGCCTCATAGTTGAACCCTACAAAGGGCCCTTTTAAGGGATTGTAGGCTATGATAGCCCATCCTGGTAAGTGGAACCTGCATGCGCACATCACTGTGACAGCTCTGAGAAGTAGCCGCGGCCATTTTTTGGAGGCTCTGTTGTTGTTTTTGGCAGGCTTGTAGAAATTGGAAGGGTTTTCAGGCAAACCTTAGACATAACCTCTAAGCTAGGCCCTGTATCCTGTAAGCCCTGAATCTCTGACCGGTCCAGGTTGCTGCATCAAGGGCTGCGGCAAGGCAGTCGCGCCGGGGCTGACGAAGAACGGCAACCCCTACAAAACCTGCTGTAGAGGCACGGTTTTTGCATACGGCAAATACCGACATAATTATATATACATATATACATACATATATATATATACGTATATATATACATATATATATATACATAAAAATTTTACATATACATAATTCACTTTCTTTGTGTCTACAGACATTTGCACGGTCCTCCAGGATGTGCCCTGGGTTTCGGGCATGACCTCCGATGCGGCCTCAAGGACCGAGCCACACCCCGGACGGCCCACAGCTTGAGCGAAGTGGCGACCTTTAAGGGTTTAGGGTTTAGGGTTTAGGGTTTAGGGTCTAGGGTCTAGGGTTTAGGGTTTAGGGTTTAGGGTTTAGGGCTTTGTGGCAGAGACCCAGAAAGGGCCATGACTTGGATAATCCCGCAAGTAGGGCATCAGAGGCTTGGAGGTGTGATGGAGATTGTGGCTGTGAGACTCCATACTTCAAGGCAACGTCTTGGGATGTTCCACCTTATACTAACAGTCCTTCATAAGCATGATAATAGGGGGTACCATAGTCCCCATTGAGGACTGTTAATATACGGGGGAACATCCCAAGGCAACGTCCCTAAACTCTGTGCGGGCGCCGGGGCATGCAAAGTGCAGAGCTCTCCATCGAGTCGTTGGTGAGAGTTGCCTCTAAGCCCTTTGACCCCGAAAATCTGCAAAGCCCATGGTTTTTGGGGGGGTTTTTTCGAATGCCGCTATATTATCTGATCTTGCCCTTCTGGGAGAGTGCAAGAATCCGTGCACAGAAATGATGAGCAACATGGAGCAACTACACCACCCCACTCTGCAGCTCAGTGCGACTCTAAAGCATGTCTTACACACGTCCGACCCGAAACCCGAAACCCTAAACCCTAAACCCTAAAGGATGGTGAGCGACCTGCTTGCAAGATGGGCTGCGGCATGCTCGCAGCTCCAGGCGAGGACATCTAGATTGTACATTTGGGACTGTAGACTGTTTGAAATCTGAAACCAATCAAATTAGTCACCAAAAAGGCGGCAGCTGCTTTATTAAAACCGACTCTAGCGGCTTATGCCCCATAGCTCTCGTCTTGGGAGCCCCACGCAGATGCACACGGGTAGGCTTGAGCTTTGTTTGTTGAAAAGATCGACTGCTCTTATCTATGGTTTGAACATGGAGTCCCTTTCTGCTGAACAGAAACATTGTTTCAATCTGATGTCATGGACAGTGGTGGAGATGGAAACAGCAAATAACGCGCTGAACACAGTCCTAGCAAGCCTAAGCCTACGGAATTTGTGAAGACTATTGTGGCTTGCTTGCGCGGGGCCTACATTGAGACAGCACTTGACACATGGCAGCGGAATTAACTCTGACCCAAACAACGTATATTGTCTAATCTATGACCTATGAAAAGTTTGCGATGCACATATAAACAATGCACATTACAAATACGATAACAAAATGTAATACAATGTTTCGTCGAAGAAACGTCAACAGCACGTTATCCCCTATATATATATACATATATATATATATATGTATATATCGCCCACAGTATAAATATGTAGAAAGTACAATACCAAATTCTCAATAGTCGGTACACGTGTATATATATATATATGTATATGTTTACGTGCAAGTGTGTGTGTGTGTATATGTATATATATATATATATATATATTCAGAAGTCTCTATTATTCAGACACAGGTATAAAAATCATGTATGATTCTTAGCAACAATATCGAACGGGAAATCTGTTCTTACATATATGTATGTGTATGTGTATATGTATATGTATATGTACATGTACATGTATATGTATATGTATATGTATATGTACATGTATGTATATATATACATATATATATATAATGGGTAGTAGGTCATGTGCAAAGTTTGTTTTTTTTCGGCCATGTAACGGTAATGTAACGTACTCAGTTTACGATATGTTCAGCAGCAACATGAGTTCAGGGTTCCCACCTTGCATAAACAAAAGTAAACGGATATCACGCTGTTTAACATCTGTATATCTTATAAGCTGTTGTAGATACACTGTGTTGTTATTGAACCTTTCATATGCTACACATTGTGTCCCTATACATGTATAGTATCATACTGTACACTGTAAACTCTAGAGGTATGCATGTGGTATATACCTCTATACACATATGTGCTTTTCATTCTATTGTACTGTTGTGTTCTGTGTGTATATGTAGATTTCTATGGCCTTGTAAGAATCATACGACGCACAGGCACGACGTCCAGGGGCCGGCCACTGGACACATGCTGCCGCAAGTGTGCTAAGGCCGAGGCTGCCAAGTCGCACAGAGTGGAGATGCTTTTGGGATCTCAGGGTTTAGGGTTTAGGGTTTAGGGTTTAGGGTTTAGGGTTTAGGGTTTAGGGTTTAGGGTTTAGGGTTTAGGGTTTAGAGTATCTCGGGGTTTTAGGGCTAGGGTTTTCTTGCCGGCAGCCCTGGGGTTGATATGCCCAATAGCTATTGCAAATGTTTATGGTATATGGATCTGAATTCATTGGTAGATCATTTGCTCTAGGAAGAGTGATCTCAGTGTGCCATGGCTTGCCCTACTACCCCCCTCTATACGATAATTCAGGCTATTTAGGGAGAATTAAGCTTAGTTAAGGTTATTTAAGGGGGGAACCTAGGGGGTAGTATCCCTAAACCCTAAACCCTAAACCCTAAACCCTAAAGGGGGGTAGTAGGGGAACCCATGAGTGTGGCCACAAGACATGTGACGAAACTGAGGATGGCGACGCGGATCGGCACGATGCACGCTGCAGGCAAGATCCGGCTTAGTGACCCCCTTGAACAGTCCGGAGTGCTGTGGCGTCAAGTAAGTTCTGTGCTGTTGTCGACAGAAGATCATTGGAATTGCCAACCTTTGGTATCTCTGAAGGAAGTATTGGAACAGGTAGTTCTAGTTAGAAGTTGTATGTGACATCTCGCGCTGCTGTGGTTTCAATGGAGCGGGTGCCGCAAAGCCTTCTTTTCTCTTCGAAGTGATGATGCCACGGCGGCCAGAGCTCGTCCCATTGCACAGCTGCTCGTGCCCGAAAAGGGATGTGCAGCTGCGCGGCTAGTTTCACGTAGCATGCTTCGTGCTCCACAAGCAGTTCACCATACTCAAAAAAATCTGCCGTCATGTGCTTGATCGCTCCAGGAGACATTCATGCAACCGGGTTGTTGCTTGCCTGGGTGTGCGCTGTGCACGGTGCGGCAGCACGAAAAGGAACCTATAGGGCATGCGAAAAGACGGTATCGCCAGTGCATAAAGCCACTTTCTTCGTAACGCGGCTAAGCCAGTGCTTGACTTGGGACCGCCAGCCCCTGTCCGCCCTTTGTGGAATGGTCAGGTCCCCTAAGAGACCCGCTAAGCTGTGCATGGTTTCTAGGTACACTACTCAGGAACCTCGAAACCCTAAACGTTTCCTAAGCCCCAAACCGAAATCTAAGGCCTGACAGCGTGTATCGTGATCTTTGCCCCGCCGGCTTCTACTGCGCAGAGGTGCGACATCGGCTGCGCTTTTAGAAATCTCAGCGCGGCAAGATCTGAAGACTCTTTGGGGCTGATGGTGAAACGGCCTTGGGTCTTGGGGTGTTTAGGGTTTAGGGTTTAGGGTTTAGGGTTTAGGGTTTACGGTTTCTGTTGAATCCCTGTACACCACGCCCCCATTGCTCAGGCAACGACCTTCATCAACCGGTACAAGTTCCGATGTCCGCTGGGTCGTCTCCCCAGAATTTGGGGGTTTTTATGGGGTTTAGGGTCAGGGACCCTAAACCCTAAACCCTAAACCCTAAACCCTAAACGGCCTAAAACCCTAAAACCCTAAACCCTAAACCCTATAAACCCTAAACCCTTTAGGGTTACATCCTAACCCATGCTGAATGGCCCTGAGGCTTCTACTGTCCGGAGGGAACCGGTGCCCGAGCCGACCTGAAGTACTCCCGTCTCGCTTTTTCAAAGCAGTGCAGTGCATAGTTAAGACGGTTCAGGGTTTAGGGTTTAGGGTTTAGGGTTTAGGGTTTAGGGTCTAGGGTCTAGGGTTTAGGGTTTAGGGTTTAGGGTTTAGCGTGCACAATGATATATGCGGTATGATATAGTAGGTTCTACTATCATGTAGTAGAATCTGGCAAAATATGGTAGAACAGTAAAACATAATACAGCGTATTTCATGAGAATGTAGTACTCTCGGCGACAGGCGGGCTCTGCTCCAGGGTGTTGTTTGCGTGGAGAAGCGGGAGTTCTACCTGACGCAGAAGGCCCCGCGGAGTTTGTCAGCTCTTTGCCGCGATGCCTCTCGGGGTTAAGGTTTAGGGTTTGGGGTTAGGGTTTAGGGTTTGGAGTTTAGGGTTTAGGGTTAACCATGGGGACCTTCGTACTTGCACGCAGCTGGGTCACGCAGCTGGGTTTAGGCACGACTGGACGGACGCTGAAGAAAGCTGTGTTTCTCAACTTCAAGTGCGCAAAACCGACCTGCAGACGAAACCAGAAGCCCCAAAACGAATATGCGGGCTTACGATAGTAGGAGACCCCAACATAGACCTCCAAATAGTAGGATTCCCTTAAAGTAAGGACACCAATAAGGTCCCATTTGTAAACGCTTGCGCGCCGCCTCGGCAGCCGGGCCGGCCCAGAGCATGCTGGACAGGGGTCCCACAGAGGGTCCGATGAAGTCCCAGAGCGGGTTCTCAGGGGGCGTCCTACAAAGGGTCCTACTGGGCTAGAGTGCTCCCAACGTCGGGTGTGGGGGTGTGCCGGTGGTCCCAGGCGGGGTCGCGGGGAGGTGCGTTGAGGCACTCCCTGTGTAGGAGCTGCCGACGGGGGGGTGCTTCACCAAAAATTCTGCATGGGGGGAAGGGTGGATCCGGGTCTGCTTGTTCCGGACGCTTCTCGGCTCAGCAGGAAGCCGAGGCGAATTTCGGAAACTTCCATATTTGCAGGTAACTGTGGCCTCCTTTTGAAGATCAGCTTTAGGATACATTCGCTGCAGTTGGCAGTCCTCATATCAGTATCATGTTGGGACCTTTCATGCTTACGTCGAGGTGGCACAGTACTGCCTTCGGCAGATTATGCGAAACAACTTCGAGTTCGTGGCGCTCGAGCAGATCCGACTTGCGCGGGTGGGGCCCTCATTTCGGTTGATTGCACTAGGCAGGACACCCCACATTATTCAGCCAGCGTTTGGCAGTTTAGGGGTAGAAGGGTTTTCTTCTTTCCATCTGACAAAGGTTGGCAGCTCTCAATCCTGGGCCCTGAAGTCTTTGCCCTAGGCCAACCTCCCGCTCATCGACAAGAAGGAGCAGACCGAGATCCAGAGTAGCTGGATTCAGGCGCGCGCGCTGGATCTCGAGCGGGGCTCGGGCTTAGGCTGGTTTTACAGATTTTTAATCCTTCGGGAAGGCGGTACGATAAGGGTTGAGGGCGGAGTAACCTGGAGCAGGACTTCGAGCTCGCCTACTGCCAGGAGGATGCCATTTTGGCCGTGCCTGGCCTCAGCTTCGGTGCCGAAACTTCAGCGCTGCCCTGAGTCCAGATGTCTCGGAAGGTGTGGCGGAAGTACAAGGGCGATCTCTTGAAGGCTGGAACAAGAGTCCCCCCCCCCCCCCCCCCAAAACCCCTAAAGCCCTAAGCCCTAAACCCTAAACCCTAAACCCTAAACCCAAATTCTAGCTCGTGCTTTCAGAGCTGTCAGACACCCCCTTGTGCACAGGTCGGTGAAGAGCGGGAAGGCATTCTGGCCATGATTGCGGCCATCCAGAGTGTGGTACTGGGCCAAGCAAGTTCAGGGTCTAGGGTTTAGGGTTAGGGTTTAGGGTTTAGGGTTTAGGGTTTAGGGTTTAGCGTTTTTTCGGGTTTCGGGTTTAGGGTTTAGGGTTTAGGGTTTGCAGCTGGACAGATTCTTGGCATCGAGCTTTGTCTCCCGAGGACTTCTTCAAAGCGTCGCTGTTGACGAAGCTCTTGACTTCTCCTGAGCTGTACACCAATAAGCCGGGAGCCGATCTGCTGCATGGACCCAGAGACTCCAAAACCTCTTAATTAAGGAATATACCTTAAATTATAATAGGAACCCTAATATGATTTAAGGTATATTCCTTAAAATTAAGGGGTCTTTGGAGTCTCTGGGGACCTACCGCAAGCACTTTGCCGATGCGAGAACCTACGAACATGCTGCGAGCACTGCTCCTGGGCCCCTGAGTGCACCCTTGTTAACTTCTCAGTGCATTGTTTTTTCTTGTCTTCCTTTCGAAGCTTGTTGGGCGTGTTGGATGTGGAGTCCGGCTTGGGCGGGAGGTCAGCACGGATAAGGTGGCCTTTTTCCGTCGGTTGTTAAGGTTCGGACCCCCACAGCAACAGACGACCCCTCAACACAAGGGCCCCCAAGCACAAGACAGAGTTCGCAGCCACCGGCTGTCGGTCGTTAGCTCACTCACGTGCAAACTACACCCGATGAATTTGGCAGCCTCGCGTCAAAACATGTCGTGTTTTCAGATAAACCATGTGCCTTTGTGTCGCACTTCGTGTAGTTGTCGGGCCTTTCGGGGGGATGTTTATCGAGGGAGGGGGGGGGGGGGGGGGGGGGGGGGGAGGCGGACATCAAATGAAGAAGCAATAGTTTGCCTCCTGACGCACACACTCAGAGTGACGTGCAGGAAGGTCTGCCAGGGGCCTTGCCGTCGCCTGAAAATGCCACCCCAAGTTGCCACTTGCTGCGAAAGCTGAGCCCTGTGCAGGTCAGGATCTGATGCGAAAACGAGACAAGGGTTTGGGGCACCCCCCCCCCCGTTTGGTGCTTAAGGCATGACTCGTGCTGCCTTCAAGCCCGTTAAACGGGCAAAAGTGAAACAGCGCAAGGCGTTTTCTGACTCTTGTAGAGGCATGGAAAACTTCCATAGAAAGAGCAGCTGATGCCTTGGAGGCATAGTTGTCGTTTGGCTCCAGAACGAGCTCTCGGACGCCAGTAACGTCAGCTTGGCCGTCCACTTCCTGCGAAACGTTTGCTTCCAAAGCAACGTCGAGGGCAACTTTTTTTGTCTCAGCACTCCGGCAAGCGACAACGGCTGCACCGGCAACTTCCGGTTCCTCAGCATTTCCTCAAACCACAGCGCCTTCAACTTCGACTTCCTCCACTTCTGCCTCTGCACAGTTCGGCCAATATGTCAAACATGCTGTATGTGTTCTATGTGTTATTCGCATTATGTGTTTTGTTCGTTTTATGTGCAGTAGTCGATTATCTTGCGTGACATGTAAAATGGAATCAATGTAATACATGTAGTATATGTACAGCATGTACTCGATGTTCTGGATGTACTATGTTTAATATGCACTGTATGTATTATGTCTTTCGTTTTTGATTGTATGCATTCTGCAGTATACGGACGATATGCATTACATGCAGTTTTTGCAATGTTTGCACTGCGTGCGTCATGTGTACGAACTATCTGCATTCGATGCCGTATATGTTTTCGCTCATTATCTGTATCTTTGTGTTCTAAGTGTTACATGTACTATATGAAGGTCATTCGGTATATGTGTTGTATACGTATGGATTCCACTTTTCAAGTTTATAGATTACATAGATACAAGATGCATTGTACAGTTTAGGACATGTCTTCTACACGTTCTGCGCCACATTCTGCTTTATTCTATGATGCGACGTTATACTACGATGCTGTTCTACAGTGGGTTATCTGTTATCTTGTTGTATGTTATAGTCTAAACCCTAAACCCTAAACCCCAAATGCAAGATTTTGCAGATGTGTCGCTGCAGTGGCACTGGGCAATGGTAAGGTGCAGCGAGCACAGCCAGCTCTTGTCGGGTAGAACTTTCCCGCTGGCGACTGAGATCCAGTCGCTTGTGTTTAGGGTTCAGGGTTTAGGGTTTCAGGTTTCAGGTTTCAGGTTTCAAGGTCAGACTTCGATCTTGGTCGGGTGAAGCTGTGGCAGCGCGCCGCTTGACCTCCCTGCTTGGAGCAGTCCCCAGGTAAAGAAGCCCAAGCCACCCCAAAGCGCGTCGATTTGCAATGCTGATATTGGTCAAGGTCGAGGAACTGCCCGCCAGATGCAGTGTCGAACCCTCAGAGAGGGCGATTTGACAGATGGAACTTCGGAGGGGCGATCCCATGATGGACTAAGCACCCTAAGCACCCTAAACCCTAAACCCTAAAAGTTGCGCATGCCAAGGAACTGCAACAACATGACGCAGTTGGAGTGCTTGTGCACTGCACGCCTCACTGGCCAGCTTTATGTCATTCGGACACATATGGCATCATGTGAACTGCACACACTCCCGAGATAACTTTCGCGCCTGGCAGAAAGATCCTGTGTGTGTGCCGCCAGCCTCTGCAACCGCCATGCTGGACTGCTTCGATGGGGATTATCCACCGGCGGATTGCGTGGACAACGCGGAGGATTGGACATTGGAATGACAGTGGGCATGGTAGTATTGAGGAAACGACTTGGAGGTTCATGGTAACCGAACCATAACTGCACATATATCCCAATTATAGCCCCATTAGGGTACTTGATGGGCTTATAAGTGGGTTATTATAACTCTATTAGGGTACTTGATGGGCTTATAAGTGGGATAGTATAACTACACTTATCATTGGGTTATAAGTACCCTGAACCTCCAAGTAGGGCCGGTCCTAGAGTTGCCACATGCGCTTAGTTGGAATCGATTCCCCAGTGCCTTGTCCTTGGACAGGATGCGACATGCCTGGACCTGTCAACAGATATGAAGAATGGTGGCGAGGCACAAATTGTTGCTGGAGACTAGGGTTTAGGGTTTACGGTTTAGGGTTTAGGGTTTAGGGATTAGGGACTAGACACCTGCCAGATGAAGAAAAACAATTCTCTGAGCCATGTCCCAGATTTGGAACCCCAAATCCCAACAGCTTCCCGGTGGGTAGTCTTGAAGCATTCTGGGCTTGAAGCATGGCGCTTTGGTAGTAAGACGCCTTGTTGAGCGTAGCCTCCCTTCTGTGTCATCGCCTGATAGACAAGAGACCATAGATGCTAAGCGCTGTGAAATGAGGGCGGCTTGTTGCTAATGTTGTTGGTATTCTTGTTATTTGTATCACAATTCTCAAGACAGACTCTCTCACATCGCTAAATTTCCTGATTTATCAGCATTGTTCATATGGTCCATGCAGCAGGTCCATGCACTCCTCCGTAGTTCCTTAGCGCGCAGCTGGCAGATTGACGACTTCGACCTCATGGCTGGCAACTACCTCTACTATGTCCAAGAATCTCTCAAAGAGGAGGGGGCTGTGCTCAAGCCCCTAAACTCATAAGCCGTAGACTTCTGATCCCTGCAGCGTTTTTTGGGATTCTCGGGATGGGACTTCGCTTCCCGGGTGTGGCTGGAAGTTCCGGCGCATCAAGACGGCCACGACTGCATGCAGGCCTGAAGCAGCGATTTAATGCGCGGCGGCCGCCTCTGCTCGAAGCACCGCCATGCCTCCACATGCCTCAATGGTCACCCTGAACCCTGAACCCTAAACCCTACACCCGCAAAACATGACCATATCAGCGCAGCTTGCTGGTGGCGACACATGACTCTCGGAAGCAAAGCTTTTCTCCCAGAGTTGCTCTTCGTATTCCTCTCGTGCAGGAGATGCAGGCTCGATATGCCGAAGGGGAAAGTACCATGACGCGCTGTCCCTTTGGTGGGAGCCCCGGGCAACCGGCCTCGGGCCTAGACTTACTCTTTAATGTTGTCAATACTGCTAATATTTCAATATTCTCATTGTTTTCATCATTATTATTATTAGTATGCATATTATTAAGTACTCTTATTATTTCGAAGATTATTCCATGAATACTTCTAATATTCTTTGAGACGATGGCTTAGATGGATGCTATCGTTGGGCTAGGGTTTGCGCTCTAGGGTGTGTTTGGAGTTAAGAGGATACCAGGGTTGGTGAGGAGCGTGCAAAAAGGTTGGTGATACGTACTACCTAGCAAGAGATGAAGTCCAGCCGCATTGCCAAGAGGCGTGCGACAGTTCTTTCAGACCTGCGCTGGATATCAATGGCACCCTACCTACCCAGAGACTCCAAAACCCCTTAATTAAGGAATATACCTTAAATCATATCAGGGTTCCTATTATAATTTAGGGTATATTCCTTAATTAAGGGGTTTTGGAGTCTCTGGGTAACCCCCTCAACCCTGTCGCCAAAGCCTGCCGGACTCGCTTGGGGACGATCCTCGCCCAAGTAAACTTTGGCGCCCTAATCGTCACAAGAGCAGCGTTAAGAATCATATGGCCAATTCCCTAAGTCATGATCCCTTTCTGGGGCATCCTACATTAGAGTGGCCGCCGTATCATCAGGACTGTAAAAGGGACCATATTTTTAGAGAAATGGCCATATGCATGATGACCGCCGTGATTGCCACGAAAGGCACCATGACGCCCAGCGATGGCGAAGTTGATCTGCGACAATGCGAGAAGAGAAGCTCTCCCACCGCCGCCTGGGGCAAGTTCAGACTTTTGGGGGGTTTCCGAAAGTAGGGCTACAGGGAATACCCCACTGGGTCCTTCTTATAAGGGAATCCTAGTATTTGGGGGGTCTATATTTGGGGCCCATGATTTTCGTAAGCTTTGATTAGGGTCCAAGTGAAGGTTTTAGAAAGTCAAAGGTTGCCGCTCGTAAACGAAGGTTGGATTTCCCAACCTGTAAAACGTCGTATGAGATTTCTGAATGTCAGAATGAGTTCCTTCGTGACATGCGGGTTTTTGCCGGGCTCACCAGGATCGTTGTCCAGCTGTGTCCACAGAACATGCTTTGGGATTCCAGTTCCATTTCGAAGAAAACAAACCTTTCGCGCTCTTGACGATGCGATGCTTGTTTTGTTTGCGGCTTTGGTCGACGTGCTTGTCACGTAGGGGCTGGGAAAAGTTCCTTGATGGACACCCACTCCTGCTGTTGCTCTGTTCACGTCCATACAATGCCTATGAGTAGCTTGCTCGTCGGTCGCTTCGCTCATCATCACGCACAGTCTGCGAAATTTGCAGCTGCCATGGATTTGGCACCCTGACTCATTGTTCAGTGGCCGCCATGGCGACACAGTGCTCAATGACTAGTTGGGACACCCTGAGCCCTACACCCCAAACCTACCTCATATTGGGGTCCTCCTTATAAGGGAATCCTACTCTCTTCAGGGGGGTCTATCTTCGGTTTCCCCCAAACCTACCTCATATTGGGGTCCTCCTTATATGGGGCTCCTACTCTCTTCAGGGGGGGTCTATCTTCGGTTTCCCCCCAAACCTACCTCATATTGGGGTCCTCCTTATACGGGAATCCTACTCTCTTCAGGGGGGTCTATCTTAGGGTCCCCCAAACCTACCTCATATTGGGGTCCTCCTTATATGGGAATCCTACTCTCTTCAGGGGGGGGTCTATCTTAGGGTCCCCTATGTTTCGAGACCATCCCCCTGTCCAGGTTTCATACTTGCTGGAGAACCTCGACATGATAGTGCAGAGAATCAACCCGGTGCAAGCCTGAGCTGCTGCGCCAGAGGGTTTAGGGTTTAGGGTTTATTTAGGGTTTAGGGTTTGGGGTTTGGGGTTTGGGGTTTGGGATTAGGGGTTTAGGGGTTTAGGGGTTTAGGGGTTAGGGCAAGGCTTAGCTGAGCACTGCGCCAGCCGGGGAAGGCTTCCCAGGAGGAGGCAGCGGTGGGTGTTCCGTGAGAACCAGGGGCTTTTATCTAGCTGTCAGACCATCATGAACGAAGACATCAACTCCAGGGGCGGCAGTGTTAACCCTAAACCCGAAACCCTAAACCCTAAACCCTAAACCCTAAACCCTAAACCTTCCCTCCAACAACTGCAGCCTGAAGCTTAGGTGGACACAGCGGCTTCGCCCAAGAAGTGGGCCGCGACCTTCTGACCTGGGCAACGCAGTCCGGTTTAGGGTTTAGGGTTTAGGGTTTAGGGTTTAGGGTTTAGGGTTTAGGGTTTAGGTTGGTGGTTCGCACCAACATACAGGGCATGAGGTCTAAAGATGGATGGAGAAGCTTCGCCAGACTGGAGGCTCTGTTGCTTCATCCCCATTACCCGAAGCACCAGCCCTGTTTCAGAGCACCTCCGCCACCCAAATCGCAGCCGAGGTGAGGTCGGCGGGCGATGCAGCAGTCAATGAAGGGTGTCACCCTCGGGGGGTTGGGTGTGTTAAAGGTCGGAAACCCTCACTGAGAGGAGTCTTTGAGTCACAAGTACGTCGTATCACCCTAAACCCTAAACCCTAAACCCTAAACCCTAAACCCTAAACCCTAAACCCTAAACCCTAAACCCTAAACCCTAAACCCTAAACCCTAAACCCTAACCGCTTAACCCCTTAACCCCTTAACCCTAAACCCTAAACCGCTTAACCCTTAACCCCTTAACCCTTAACCCTGAACCCTAAACCCTAAACCCCTAAACCCTAAAACCCTAAACCCTAAACCCTAAACCTAAAACCCTAAACCCTAAACCCTAACCCTACCTAAACCCTGCCCAGCCCGGCCCAAGCTGCCTGAAGAATGGATCTCCCGATGACAGCATTCAGAGGGCAATGCTTAAAGCAGTCCCCCCCCCCCCCCCCCTGTGCGAATGCATCACCTTGTTAGAGCTCAACTGGGGAGGAGGAGCCAGAAGCACAGAGAACTCATTGCAGATGTGAGAACTCACAGATGTGATGGGTAGCAAGCTGTGAAGGAAGTCTTGCAGTAGCCTGCTCATGTCCTACGGATCGGGCTCCCTGTTTGAAAGATGAAGCTGAAGTGTAAACATGGACGTACATATATATATATATACACACGTACATATATGTACATCTATATACATATACATATACATACATACATACATACATGCATACATACATACATATACATATACATATATATATGGTACCCCCCCCCAAAGATCTAGGTATTTTCATGGTTTTGGGATCTGTTTTAGGGTTTAAGGGTTGGGGGTGGGGGGGCTAGCTAAACATGTAAAACTCAATATGGACATGTGAATCTTGATATGTGCGAGTCTTCATATGTGCGTGGTCGTCTTTTCAAATTGTGAGCCCGATTGAAAACGATTGAAACGATTGAAATTCAATCGGAGACCGGATTGAAGATTGAAGATTGAAGATTTCCGGAAACCTTTTTTCTGGGAATCTTCAATCTTCAATCTTCAATCCTGCCCCCGATTGAATTTCAATCGTTTCAATCGTTTTTCAATCGGGCCCCCGATTGAAAAACGATTGAAACGATTGAAATTCAATCGGAGACCGGATTGAAGATTGAAGATTGAAGATTCCCGGAAACCTTTTTTCTGGGAATCTTCAATCTTCAATCTTCAATCAATCAATCGGCTGCCCCCGATTGAATTTCAATCGTTTCAATCGTTTTTCAATCGGGTTCACGTCTTGTAAAGTGTCAGAATTAGCTTTCGTGACGTCGCTCAAGATCACGTGTCTTCGCAGACATTCCACTCGAAATATACTTGACCATTTGTGTTTGTAATACTCGCAATGGCTCGCATCCCAGTGGCTGGCTCAGTCTTATGGTTTTTATTGGTTTTTGCGGTGTTTCGGGAGCGTGGGTCCCACGCTAAAAATCGGTTTTACCGATGTTTTTGAAAGCCTACCTTCAAAATAACATCGGTAAAACCAATGTTTTTCAAAGCCTACCTTCAAAAAACATAGGTAAAACCAATGTTATTGAAGGCCTACCTCTAAAAAACATCAGTAAAACCGATGTTTCGTGAGCCCATGCTCCCAAAACATCGCAAAAAAACAATAAAAAAAACATGTCAAAAACCATGATTTTCGAAACTAGTGGCTGGGGTGGCCGGCCGAGTAGTTTCAGAAACCATAGTTTTTATGTTTCTTATTGGTTTTTGCGGTGTTTCGGGATCGTGGGCTAAACCTTTAAGCCCTGTAGGCTATACGGTTAAGGTTTAAAGGTTTAGGGTTGAAAAGTTCAACAGTCAGCCCATAGAGTTTAAACCTTAAGGGTCCTAAACGCTTAACCTTTAAACCCTATAGGCCATAGGGTTAAGGTTGAAAGGCTTAGGGTTTAAGCTTTTGGCATTAAAACACAACCCCATAGAGCTTAAGCCTTAAGGGTTTAAGGTTTCAGCATTGAAACGATAACCCTAAGCCCTTTAGGGTCAGAACCTTGAAGCCCTGTAGGGCTCTAAGACGTTAACAGGGTTTAACCCTATAGGCGTTGAATGTATAAATGCCCAGACATTACGCTCTCTTTAACCTTTCAGCCCTATAGGGTCTAAAGGCTTAGGGTATTTCTGCAGCCCTGAGGGTTTAAAACCTTAAGCCCTCAAGGTGGGCTTGGGTTTAAATGCCTAAATCTTGAATCCTAAACCTTTAAACCTTAACCCTATAGCCTATAGGGCTTAAAGGTTAAGTGTTTAGGCCCTGTACGCTAAGATTTACACTCGATGGGCTTAGGTTTAAATGCCTAAATCTTAAGGCCTAAACCTTTTAAGCCTTAACCCAAAAGGGTTTTACGGTTAAGGGTTCAGGTTTAAATGGCGGTTACATCTTCAACTTCACATCGCCTCCGGGCCCATGCAAGTATTCAACTTGATATCGCTAAATCATGAAAATACCTAGATCTTTGGGGGGGTAGCATATATATATATATATTTATTTATTTATTTATATACATATATATACATATTTGTTTCTTGTCTGCGAAATACGCCTTGGGTCCTGGACTGACCCAGGGAGTTCCGCCCCGTGTATGCTGCCACAGCGGGAAGTGTGACGCTGGTGACCTTCGACGTGCGGCACCTGCCCCAAGAGGAGCGGGCAGCGAGCTACTCTGTGACCACCCTGTGCTCATGGCATACCTGTAGTATGGTTCGTATTGAATGATCTGAGTGTAGACACATCTCCGAACAACTCTCATGTCAGCGCGCCCCCCCCCCCCCTAATCGAACAAACGCTGAAGATCGTGTGGGGTCTCATGTCTACACCGTCTACACTCAGTAGACCGCAAGCCCCGGTTGCCAGACGGTGTACGGGAAGCACTGGCGGATCAAGTTCTACGTGGGCTCCGAGCAGGATGCTTATTCGGAGTCGGGCCGGAAGTGTTTGTTAGGGGGGATTGAGTTGGGAGGGATTGATCATGATGTGGTCGGGACTCGTAGGATGCGGCAGCCCAATTCCTGAGGGCTTAGGTGGTAATTATATGTATATGTATGTATATATATATATACATATGGCACGTCTTGTGTTTTGATGGAGAAGTTTTTTAGTTTTAGGGTTGATCCTCGAGAGCTAAAGCTATACGGGCCGCACAGCGCATGTCGGGTGCCCTATAAACCTTACACCAAAGCCATGAGCCATCACCCTAAGAGTCCATGTGCCTATGTAGTATATACTTGGGGCTTCAAGGGGTTCCCATTTAGTAGCTTTAGGGCCCTAATATACACTATATAGGTAAACCCTAAACCCTAAACCCTAAACCCTAAACCCCCAAACCCCCAAACCCCCAAACCCTAAACCCCCAAACCCTAAACCCTAAACCCCAAACCCTAAACCCTAAACCCTAAACCCTAAACCCTAAACCCTCAGGATCAGATGTCAGCTGCAACAGCCGCAAGAACCGAGGCTCGACCCCCTCTATTCCGATCCGATCGAGTGCCACAACCTGGTCGCAGCTAGGAGCTGCACTCCTACGGTTGCTTGTAGGGTTTAGGGTTCAGGGTTTAGGGTATAGGGTTTAGGGTTTAGGGTTTAGGGTTTGCTGCGATAGGGAGTAGATGCTGTGAAGGTTTGGATGCAGCAGCGGCTCGAATGCCTCGTCAGGTGCGAAGAGCAGTTCTGGCCCGATTGTGGAGGGCCATCTAATACTTGTCTCCCACCCCACGCCGTCCGAGGCGGCAAAACCACCCAAACCTATTCCTTTTAGGGTTTAGGCCTAAACTCAGGACATTCGTTTACTTTCAAAAAAAAAACCTTTCCGTCACCGATGGCCACTTTCAGCCAAGGGAAAGGTTTGAGGCTAGGTCCTCAGCTGCATAGAAAAGGAGGTTTTAGAGGGCTTGCAGGCTCAGGAGGCTAGGAGGGAGCGGGGCCATGGGGCCAAGGAGGCGAGGATGGCCGGGCGTCAGGGGGGGGCGGGGTAGGTGCGCAACACACCCAAGAAGGGCGGGACCAGGAGGGTGCCAGGGGGCCAGGGAGGGGTTCAGGGGGGGGGCCATCGTGGGTGCTACCGACCTCCAAGATGCGGGAGGCGGGCAAGCGACCTGGGTCGACTTTCGCCATAGAGGTCGAAAGGCTTAAGCGCCGCCCCCCTTCTGTACGGGGGCGGTCTAGGCCCTGAGTTTAGGGTTTAGGGTTTAGGGTTTCGGGGGGGTTAAAGGGGGGGTTTAGGGTTTTTGGGGGTTATGGTTAGGGTTTGGGGGTTGAAGGTTCAGGGTTTGGGGGTTCAGTGTTTAGGGTTTTGTGTTTAGGAGTTTCCATGTTTCGTCAGGATTGCTGTCCGCTGTACGCGCTAGACCAACTGCCTGTCGGCCAATGGGGGGGGGGGGTTCGGAGTTTCGGCTTAATGTCTTGGTAGTTCAGTGGTACCCGTTTCCCTTTTTTGGTTCAAGGCCCCCTTATAAGTTCACCAACCCAAAAAAGGGTGCCCTTATTGTGATATGGTTTCTGGGCTACTCAGGGGAAGGTGCGGGTTTCGTGGCCTTGGGAAGACTATCGGAACCCTTCCTGGCCCATGTCAAGATGTCGAGCAGCCAACGATCTGCTTCGTGTCGGCTTCTTGCTGATTTTGGGAGCCATGGGATGCAAGGAGTGCGACTTGCGCAGGCGCTCAACCAGATACCCTATGCCCTGAACCCCAAACCCTGAACCCTAAACCCTGAACCATAAACCTTGAACCCTATACCCGGAACCCTATTCCCTGAACCCTAAACCCTGAACCCTAAACAGCAGGACGCCAGAGAAGCGAGACCTCGACGTCAAGATCGCCAAGAGCCGTGGCTGTGTGCCTTTGCTTGGGATACTTGAGGCTCAGAATCGGACTTCATGGTCTGTGTCGGATCCTAGGGGCCTTGGGATATTTAGACTAGATGTTCTCAATTTACTTCTTTTAGTTGGTATATATATATATAGCAATATGGGAGTTACGAAAATCGAGGACCCATAGTATAGTCCCCCAAATAGTAGGATTACCTTATAATAGTAGGGACCCCACGAGGGTTCCCCCAATTTCGGAAGCCGCCATATATATGTGTGTATATACATATATATATATATATATATATTGTTTTGGTGTATACATATACAGATTTATTTATTTATATTTATTTGTATTTTTTATGTGTAACATGTATATTTATATTTATGTTTGTAGTTATATTTACACTTCTATTATATCTGTATTTATATTTATATGTATATTTATACTTTTATTTATACTTATACTTATTTTTATATATCTTTCAGAAGGCTGTTTTTATAAGGCTTAAAAGACCCACCGAGCTAGATCATGCCGCGCAAACGGTGCCCAGGCCGAGATCTCCTTGCCACCGGCTTTCGAGCAAGAGGCTCGATTTGTTCAGGGCTTAGGAAAGTTTAGGGTTTAGGGCTTAGGGCTTAGGGCTTAGGGTTTAGGGTTTAGGGCTTAGGGCTTAGGGCTTAGGGTTTGGGGTCACAGCTCATTGAGAACTTGGCTCTGAGATGCTGCTTGCCCAGGAGACCGGTTTGTACCTCTCCATACATACCGTCCCAAACCGGGCGTTTTGTCAACTGATTTCCAGATTCTCTAGGTTGTTCTTTTCTAGAGACCAGATGCTCGGCAGTCTTTCCTCTTCCTAGTTGCACGGCCATGGGCGAAGTGCAAGGCATCCGCAAAGAGTAGCAGGAGACATTTCCCCCACATTCTGGAGCACAAGGTTGACGGAGCGAACACGCAATTTCAGCGTAGTCTCCAAACGCAGCTTTGCAGCTTCCACTTCGAAGTGGAAAGAGCGTTCTCAAGCAGACGAAGGTCGTCATGGTAATCGCAGAAGTGCGATAGTCGGACTCATGAGGGCTATGGCACGGCCTGCCGCCGATCTGCACCTGCATCCTGTGGTTCTTGGCATAGGGTTTACGGTTTCGGGTTTAGGGTTAAGGGTTTCAGTGATCACGCATTGAATCCGTCCATGCTTCTGATGGGGTGGCGAGAGCGCAAATCCTAGGGGCGCCCATTTAAAATCATGTGCCGCCGCAGGGAAACGAGAGAGGCCAAGGAGGACTGGCTTCTGGAGTCTTCACGTTCATGTCCGAAGCTGAGTCCACTTACCGCTTCGGTCTTTGCTTCGGCCTGCCTCTTTCCAAGCTTGTTGGGAACTGCAGCAGCTTTTCAAGTCTGGATTAGGGTTTAGGGTTTAGGGTTTGGGGTTTGGGGTTTGGGGTTTAGGGTTTAGGGTTTAGGGTTTAGGGTTTGAAGCTACATAGTTGCATGTCGTCTCTCAGGCTGCATCCCATCGTCGACATTCAATGGCGGGTGGGCTGGCTAAGCTTCCCTTCCAGAGCAGCAGTCAGTCGAATTACAGTCTACACTAGCCCTCTTTCTTCAAGCCCTTCACCAAAAACAATCACATCCATGCAGAGCGTAGGCTGGGCGTGGCACGGCAGGGACAGGGTACATTCGTGACCAAAGACACGTGGGCTACGCGTTTCTGGACTGCGCGGGGTGCAGTTTTGTCCTTTGTGTGTTGCTGTGTCACGATGCCGCGCTGTCAAATGTAACCGGGACACTGCGGCAATGAAAGCCGCGGCCACAGACATGCAGCGATCAGGTGGAAGTTCAGATTGTCGACGGAGTTTACCAGCCCGATGTGCTTGTCTCAGCTTTGTGTGCTTGCAGGCAAGTGTGTGTCGGCTTGTTTGCTGTAAGGAAGATACAGCAGATTCATCTGTAGCATTGAAACCATCGCCACTGCAGGCACCACCCCCTCCCCCCCTCTCCCTCCCCTCCTCCCCCCCCTCCTCCCCTCTCCCACTCCCAACAAGAGGGACCTAATTGCAAGACCGCATCATGTTGATACAGACTCATACCCTAAACCCTAAACCCTCATGCATTTCGGCCTCTTCGGGGAGAGGTAGGGTCGATGGAAAACTTTTGGAATCAACAGGCCTTCATGCTCTTGAGCTCTGCACTCGTGGAGTATGCGGAACCCGCCTGGGGCCGAGTCGAAAGCCCCTTACAAAGCACGAGAGAGCACGAGAGAGCACGTGTGCGGAGTGTAGGGTGCAGATATGTATGTGTGTTTTTGTATGTATATGCACAACCTGTAAAAACAAAACGTAAACATAAATAAACAAGTAAATAAATAAATAAATAAATAAATATATATATATATATATATGTAAGCAAATAAAGATATGCATATATGTATATATATATACATAGATATATGTGTGTACTTTTGCGACGGCAGCACGAAAGTTCCACACACCCTGCATAATCCGCATGTCTTGAGGCCCAGAGGCCCCCCACTCGCCCCAGCCCTCCTGGCACCCCAACCGCCCCACCATGTGTGGGTTTAGGGTTTAGGGTTTAATTAGGGTTTAGGGTTTAGGGTTTAGGGTTTAGGGTTTAGGGTTAAGGGTTTTCCACATGGAGCAGGAGAACATTTGTCCAAATGGGATTATGAAATACCCTGCCACGCAGGCCACGTAATACAGGTTCTTCTACCAGCCCCGCTCAATATCAGATTTGTCCGCAAGACACTCCAGCGGTCAGGGTCAACACCTTCTTCCGCCTGATGTATCTCTGTATCTTTCGTAATATTCATGTAATTACATCTATACATATACGTACACTTCTACATACAATCTAGAGAAAAAAATAAAGCACAGAACTCCGAAGCCATGATGGAAGCGCCAGACTCTACGAGTCGTCATGGAGTTGCCCTTTCCCTTTGCCAGGCACGAGCAGAAGTCGGAACAAAGAAGTTGCGGCCCCAGATGGGTTTAGGGTTTAGGGTTTAGGGTATAGGGTTTAGGGGATGGCCTTGAGCAGTTGAGCTTCCCAGACGCCACGCTAGATGGCTGAACGGCTTAGGGCCTTTGCGATTATGCTGTCCGACGACCTGGAGATCGAGTTGCCATGTTCTCAGCATGTTGTGTCAGGAAAGTAGGGGTGAGTCTGTGCTTCTCGGCAAAGTTTTTTCCGCTGTCTGTAGATGAGGCCTGCGAATATGCCTCTCAAGTCCTTCTCGGAGCAGTCGGATGTCGTGAATCAGCAGATCATCACGCAGGTGCAGGAACTTCTTCGTCATACAGGGACAGCCGAAGCCCTGCGGCTGCGCAGGTCTTCCTGAACTGGCTGCCCCTGGAGATGAAGCTTGAGAACTACATGCGGCCCCTCTTCTCGGCAGTCGGAGCCAGGGGCTCAGAATGGTGCACTGGGGCCATCAATCAAGGTCGTGATGTCATGGGATGCATGCCAGTTGCCAAAAGCTCAGGGCGGTGAGTTGGAGTACGTCTTCGAGGACAAGGGCATGTACTGGCGAGATACAACGGTGGCGCTCTCAGCGACCAGCCTGCCTGACAGCTCGCTGCATGGAAGCGATGGCTTACATGACTTTGTCATAGTTGGGTGCCATTTAAAATTTTACGGGTACTTAAACCCAATCTCGACTGCAATTTTTACATCTTTAACATTCTTTAACATTATAATTACCAACCATGAACTAGATGAAGCCACCCAGGAGATCTACCTCCCCTATCTGCCATACTTCAGCAACTGCCGTGGCTTCGGACGCACAATTCCGCGGGAGCCCCTGGCATTTGAGAGCTCCTCAGGCCCTGCCCAGATGACGCAAGCACTTGCCACATACAGCAGATACATCCCAACTAGTACGAATAATCAGTGAACCAATATGTTCAACTACTATTTTGTTTCGAATTCCTAGCCCTAAACCAGTGACGCAGAAAGGAGGAAGCACCATGCAGTTTGCCCGAGAGGATGGAGGCTTCAGGTTCATGTCGGGGGGAGTCAATGCCCACTTGCTGAGGCTGTGGGCGATCACGGAACAGAACGGAGGCCGCTTCAAGACCACAAGGATTTTCAAAGCTATTGGCCCTCGGGCCAACTAAGGGATTCAGCAGGTTAGGTTGCAGGTTTCTGAAGTCATGGGTATAATAAGCCCCTGAACCCTGAAACCCCAAGCCTCTGCAATGTGGTCACAAAGGGAAGAGGGGCCTGAGGGGAGGTACCGAGGGAAATTTAGGGAAGCTTGGGTAATCTTATGGACTGGGGTTTAGATTTTCGGGTCCTCCCAGGATCTCGCAAACATCGTGTAGCTTCTGGGAACAGTGGCCAAGCCTTACGAACAGAACCAGATTCTAGTTCCTCACGCGTGTGTCAGTTGAATACACATCCATTCGCTGTTCAAGACCCTCCCTCTCAAATGGGGGCGTACAAATAAGAGGCCCCCAAAATGGACCCCCAAATAGTTGGATCCCCCGAATAACAAGGACCCCAGTAAGGTACCCCGAATATCCCAAATTGTCCAGGCTGCGTGTGGGAGCCCATTGGGGGCGAGATTGGCCTGCTGTCTCTCGGTAGCCAGGCCCTTCTCGGGAGAGTTCCACAAACTTGCGGGAAACTCCCTAAAGCCGAAACCCTAAACCGTGTTTAACCGCATCACACCCCTGGTCTGCCCTAGTCTCGGCCGACCTTCGGTCCAAACGACGCCTGGACGCTTCAACAATACGTTACACTGTAGGATTCTGACCTAGGAATTGTTTTTTTTCCCGAAAGCGTCGCGAAGGGTTCTTCCGTGCGGAGCCCTCTGACCCAACAACATAGAGTGAAGTACATAGAGTGAAGTGCATAGATTGAAGTGCATAGAGTGAAGTGCATAGAGCGAAGTGCACAGAGTGAAGTGCATAGAGTGAAGTGCATAGAGTGAAGTGCATAGAGGAAGTGCATAGAGCGCAGTGCATGAGTGAAGTGCATAGAGCGCAGTGCATAGAGCGCAGTGCATAGAGTCAAGTGCATAGAGTCAAGTGCATAGAGTGAAGTGCATAGAGTCAAGTGCACAGAGCGAAGTGCACAGAGTGAAGTGCATAGAGTGAAGTGCATAGAGTGAAGTGCATAGAGTGAAGTGCACAGAGTGAAGTGCACAGAGTGAATTTCATACCTTCGTACCCAGTCCTAGATTTCCTAATTAAAATTACTCTTTCTAAGGCGGCGGGCTGGGTTGACATCGCCAATCGGGATTGCAACCCTCTGCGGGTTTCGGCGTGGTCGCGGTGCTAAAACCGTCGTTTTTTTACGTTTCTTGATTTGCGCGGACAACCCTCTGCGGGTTTCGGCGTGGTCGCGGTGCTAAAACCGTCGTTTTTTTTTCGTTTCTTTGTGTCCGCGGACAACCCTCTGCGGGTGATCGCCGGGTCGCGGTGCTAAAACCTTCGTTTTTGGTACTTGTTTTCGTGGCCGCAGACAACCCTCTGCGGGTTTCGGCGTTGGCGCGGTGCCAAAACCGTGGAGTTTTTGCGTTTTTTGACATACAAACGTAACCCCTCTGCGGGTTTCGGCGTTGGCGCGGTGCCAAAACCCTCGTGTTTTTGCGTTTCGACATACAAACGTTACCCCTCTGCGGGCGTTCGCATGGTCGCGGTGCTAAAACCGTAGTGTTCCGTGGCTGGAAAGTCGACTTTGTAGTACAAACGTAGTACGCCGCGGACACCCGGAGCTTCCGTGGCTGGAAAGTCGACTTTTGTAGTACAGACGTAGTACGCCGCGGACACCCGGAGCTTCCGTGGCTGGAAGGTCGACTTTTGTAGTACAGACGTAGTACGCCGCGGACACGCGGAGCTTCCGTGGCTAGAAAGTCGACTTTTGTAGTACAGATGCAGTACGCCGCGGACACCCGGAGCTTCCGTGGCTGGAAAGTCGACTTTTGTAGTACAGACGTAGTACGCCGGGGACACCCGGAGCTTCCGTGGCTGGAAAGTCGGCTTTTTGTAGTACAGACGTAGTACGCCGCGGACGCCCTGGGCGTCTGAAAACACCGCAAATAGCATGGTAACGGACATCTGGGCGCATGAAAACACCGCAAACAGCATGGTAACGGACATCGGGGCGCTTGAAAACACCGCAAATAGCATGGTAACGGACATCTGGGCGCACGAAAACACCGCAAATAGCATGGTAACGGACATCTGGGCGCTTGAAAACACCGCAAATAGCACGGTAACGGACATCTGGGCGCATGAAAACACCGCAAATAGCATGGTAACGGACATCTGGGCGCATGAAAACACCGCAAATAGCACGGTAACGGACATCTGGGCGCTTGAAAACACCGCAAATAGCACGGTAACGGACATCTGGGCGCTCGACATCTGGGCGCTTGAGAACAGCGCAAAGAGCATGGTAACGCTTGGAAACACCGCAATTAGCACGGTAACGGACATCTGGGTGCTTGAAAACACCGCAAATAGCATGGTAACGGACATCTGGGCGCTTGAAAACACCGCAAATAGCATGGTAACGGACATCTGGGCGCCTGAAAAACACCGCAAATAGCATGGTAACGGACATCTGGGCGCTTGAAAAACACCGCAAATAGCACGGTAACCGACATCTGGGAGCTTGAAAACACCGCAAATAGCATGGTAACGGACTTCCGCGCGCGTGAAGACACGGGGATGATTTTGTCTCTTGCTGGTTGTTCCAAAGCCATCGCAAATACCATGGTCACCGAATTCGCTGGTTCCAAAACCATCGATGGCAAATACCATGGTCCTCGAATTCGCTGTTTCCAAAACCATCGCAAACACCATGGTCCCCGTATTCGCTGGTTCCAAAACCATCGCAAATACCATGGTCCCCGAATTCGCTGGTTCCAAAAGCCATCGCGAAAACCACGGTCCCCGAATTCTCTTCCAAAAGCATCGCAAATACCATGGTCCCCAAATTCGCTGGTTCCAAAACCATCGCAAATACCATGGTCCCCGATTTCACGGACATGTGGGACTCGAATTCCGGGACGTCGAAGCCATCGCAAATATCGTGGGACTCGAATTCCTCGAAAAACTCGCAAATTTCGTGGGACTTGAATTCCGGGGCCTCGAAAACCTCGCAAATATCGCGGGACTCGAATTCCGGAATGTCGAAACCATCGCAAATATCGTGGGACTCGAATTCCTCGAAACCCTTGCAAATATCGTGGGACTCGAATTCCAGGGCCTCGAAAACCTCGCAAATATCGTGGGACTCGAATTCCGGGATGTCGAAACCATCGCAAATATTGTGGGACTCGAATTCCTCGAAAAACTCGCAAATATCATGGGACTCGAATTCCGGGGCCTCGAAAACCTCGTAAATATCGTGGTTCCAAAACCATCGCAAGTACCATGGTCACCGAGTTCGCTGGTTCCAAAACCATCGCAAATAGCATGGTCCCCGAATTTGCTGGTTCCAAAACATGCCTGGAAAGTCGACTTTTGTAGTACAAACGCAGTACACCGTGGAAGCATCGGAGCTTGGCGTTGTAATCAATGCCGATGAAGTGTATAGAGTTGACCACAAGTGCATGGCATTCAACTCCACACACTTAAATGCCATGCAGTTCAAGCGCATACACGTCCAGTAGACAAGTGCAGTGCACAAGTGACTATGCAACCATGTAAGTGCATACATTTGTCCAAGTGCATACACTTCGGCTGCAAAGAGTCAACTGGCAAATCGATGCTTTCGGGCCATCCCTCTTCTAGTTTTTTTGTTGATATAAAAACCCAAGAGGATATTTAAAATATTATTATTTTTTATTAGGGTTCTAAGGGGAGTATAGTCTGATAGGCAAGGGACAATGTGAGATCCGCACCCTACAGGCAGCCAAACCAAGCATGCCGTGTCCGGGGGAGCACTTCTGTGAGTAAAGTCAGGGTCCATCTAGTATGCAGCAGCCTTGATCAATGGCAAGTTTGCCTGACGTCTTCAGCAGCCCATGATTCCGAAGCGCTCCACTCCGACCCTAACCCCAAACCCTAAAGCCTAAACCCTAAAGCCAATCCTAAAGCCTGAACTCTCCGTGCCCTAAAACCTAGACCCTAAACCCTAAACCCTAGGGTGTTCTCCTTATGTGCGGGACTGCTCTGTGCCCTCTAGTAGGGTTGAGGGTTTGGGGTTTAGGGCCTAGAAAGGTTTAGGGTTTGTCAGGGTTTGGGGGCTCAGGGCTTTAAGAATGTCTGAGACCCCACCTGAGACCTGCAACACAGGCCAAGGGCGACTCCTGCTCTTTCACCCAAGTGGACTGCATCCTTGATGAGGCACCAGTTTTAGGGTTGAGGGTTTAGGGTTTCGGGTTTAGGGGTTTAGGGGTTGAGGGTTTAGGGTTTAGGGTTTAGGGTTTAGGGCCGTGTGTTTGCGAGGGTTTCCAGGACTCAGCAAAGGGGATTTTGCAGCTGTCGGCTGAGACTGCCAGGGACGATGGACATGGACGGTTTAGGCATGGGGCATCATAGCGCTTCACGCTGCGATTAAAAATGCTTGCGCCGACAATTGGTAGGGGAACTGGTCGTGTGCTCATCTTGAACTCAGAACTGTGCAGACGCACACACAGATACTGCCCCAAGGGGTTGATGCTGCTTCCATTGCCGTCATAGGCCCCGCAGCAGATATGTGGACCCTAAACCCTAAACCCTAAACGACAGAGACTGGTCATGTAAGGTACCCTCCGTTCGATTGTCGAATCCTCGATGGTTCGAAGCTGCCACTGGCACCAGACTCTTCGATGTCACCAAGGACTCCGCATGCATTGGGGAGTTGCGGAACCTGCTCATTGGCTTAAGTTACCTGCCACAACAACATCTATGTATTTATGTATACATATGTATATATATATATATTCATCTTCTTACAAGAGTACTCTTGCCGTTCCCTTGGCCTTCATCCTTAACGCGTCACCAAATTCTTGCTCTCACCTGATATTTTTCTCAGGCGACGTCTGCTATTTTTCTGCCCTTGATGTTCCTCTCCCCTCCTGCAGTGCCCTGCATCTGCTAATTACTCCAGATCTGACATGTCCTACGAACCTTAGCTTAGGGGTACTTGGAAATAACCTTTAGTTTTTGGGCACTATGATTCCTAAGAAACAGCAGAAAATTTTTGCTAGGGTTCCAAGTTTAGTATAGTTATTTGGGTCCATTGAACAGCTTGGTCACATGCCGACCCTAAACCCTAAACCCTAGACCCTAAACCCTAAACCCTAAAGCCTAAACCCTAAACCCTAAACCCCGGCTCCAGCTCACAGGATGCAAGCATGCCTTCCATGCTGAGACCAGGATGCATTCAGCCGTCGATGGTCGGAAACGTAGCCTTCAGGCTCATGGCACAGATGCCCCTAAACCCTAAACCCTAAACCCTAAACCCTAAACCCTAAACCCTAAACCCTAAACCCTAAACCCTAAACCCTAAACCCTAAACCCTAACAATCATAGAAGCAGCAGTAAGAGGGGGCGGCTCATCGGAAGGATAAACAATTCGCTCAGGAACAACTGGGGGCCTGATGACCCAGTGCCTGTCACAGAGCCCGCCCAGACCTTGGAGCAACTGTAACCAGAGTTGTTTGTGAGACGCAAATAGTGCTTCTGAGTTTAGGGTTCAGGGTTCAGGGTTTAGGGTTAGGGGAAAGTAAAAGGTTATAGCTTGAGGCAAACCTTGGTGCCAGCATGGGGTGGCGTTGGTTAGAGCTCTGCATCAGTACCGATGACGATCTTTCAACGCTCGAGAGGAAGTTGTGCCTGCAGGCGTGAAGCCCTTTACACAGCAGTCTTCACAAACGTTTCGCACGTAGCCGGGCCTGCATATCAAAACGAATCTACTGTGCTTGCCTTTTCCATGAGCTGCTCCAGGACCACAACCTGCGTCCCCAAGCGAGGCCTGAAGTAAACCCCAAACCCTAAACCCTAAACCCTGAAGTAATTATCGCAAGGAGCGATGCCCGCAGCTCAGGTCTACTTACAGCGAGGCATCCCCGAATCTGCCGGGTCCTCTGTGAATGTTTGCGTCGGGCTGTTGCCGCGAAGACTCTCCTGAGAGTCGTTGCGGCCTCAATTCTTGCAGACACGCAATAGTTAGGGTTTAGGGTTTAGGGTTTAGGGTTGTCATCCCATGTTCCCAGACTCAGCCATCTGCCTCCCACGCTCAGGGAGCCCTGCCTCAAAAAGTGACCATCGCCTTCCAGTATTGGTCTCGTCCTCAGTCGTGGTGGGGCATTGTCAACCTTACACCCTGAACCCTAAACCCAATACACCCTATACACCCTAAACCCTAAACCCAAAGGTATGGAGACTCAAGAAAAGGCTCCAAGGTTCTGTGCGTTTCGGGGCAGTGCTGGGTCAACCCTGAACGCCAAACCAACCCAAATCCCCTTGTAAACCCCGGTCCTGCCAATGGTATTAGTAGTGCTAAAGGTCCTATCCCTGAACCCTAAACCCTAAACCCTAAACCCTAAACCCTAAACCCTAAACCCTAAACCCTAAACCCTAAACCCTAAAACCCTAAAACCCTAAACCCTAAACCCTAAAACCTTAAACCCCATAAACCCGAATGCTCTAAAGCCCTATAATTCCCTAAACCCCGGGCCAGGCAGCAGGGTCCCCGCAAGAAGATGCTCGCTTCCGGAAGGTGGCAACCGGACCGGGGGCTGTTCGAACTCATGCGGGGGGTCTACGAAATTAGGGGTTTGGGGTTTAGGGTTTCTGGTTTGGGGTTTGGGGTTTGGGGGTTAGGGTTTGGGGTTTGGGTTTAGGGTTGAGGGTTTGGGGTTTAGGGTTTACCTTATTGGAATCCTTATTAGAAGGGGATCATACCCTTGCATACATAGTACGTATGCGAACTACGTATAATTTGTCTGTGTCTTTATTGGGGTCTCTACGTGAGAATGTCCCTCAGTTCAGGGTACCAATAAAAGCGGCACACAATTTAGATCAACTTCCAAATCAGTGATTTCACCTCGGGTCAGTCTGATGTATGACTATTGGCGACTATTGGCCTTCAACAATCAGCAAGGTTTGCATAGATGATTTTCTGTGCTGCTCAGTCACCTCCCTGCACCTTCAGGGCCTGGTATTCGGAGTTCATCACGCCAGATGTGGCGGTGCAGTCCGGAAGGGCTACTTTCGAGTACAAGCCCGCGCGCTCAGCTGCAGTCTAGGTCCTGCAGTCAAGGCTAGGAGAGATCTGCCAATGCTCCTGAAATGGTGCGAGGTGCATGCAAACTTACAAAAGCAGCTGTTCCAGCTCAGGCTCACAGTGCTGTACTACCCCATGACTCACTTCGAAGTCATGGTCTACTTTGCCTTCCCTATGGAGCTCCGGCCTCAGTCGGCCTGCAGTGCTTCTGTTTCCTTGGGAATGCCGATGAATTCCAGGCCCTAAGAGTCCCCCCGGTAGCCAAGAGGGAGCTGATGACTTGCATGTCGCTCCTGGTTGCCTCTCTTTGGTGGCCGCAGCCCTGCGAAAAATTTCGCCAGTGTCGAAGCTGGGTTTAGGGTTTAGGGTTCAGGGTTCAGGGTTTAGGGTTTAGGGTTTAGGGTAAAGGGGGCACTTCTCGGGGCCAATGCAGACGGCGGAGGTGCCGGAGTCGTGTGCAAAACCAAGGGCCGCAAGCGACAGATGGTCGCTTTGTTCGGGCATGTCCGGAGGTTTGTTGAAGTAAGAGTCGCTTCGGTGGGCCAAGCGAAGGATACCTCGGAAGTTGGCCTGAGGAGATCGAGATGCTGCTCTGAAATCGTGTGTGTGTGTGTGTCAGCTTTCAAAGCTCCTGCAAATTGACCGTTGTCTCAGGTTCTACGTGGGCTTCTATGTCTGCATGGGCGTGTTGAGCTAGGGCCCTGATCATGTGGCTGGAACATAAATTGTTGGGATGTTCCCCCCTATACTACGAGTCCATAATAGGAATTAGAAGAGGGGATACTGTAATCCCTACTAAGTACTATAATCCCTATTAAGTATAAGGGGGAACATCCCAAAACATGCGCATTCAGCCACGTTGGGCTGCCTCAGGTGTGGCCATGGTCCTCGTGCTTTGGAGCCCCTCGGCTCTTTTCGCACCGGCCACCCTTTATGCTAAGAGTCCTTCAGAGGGATTCTAGTACCCCCTACTAGAACCCTAAACCGAAACCCTAAACCCTAAACCCTGAACTTCTTAAACCCGAAACTTGCTAAACCCTAAACCCTAACCCTAAAACAGACTGCTACGAACACGGCTCCGGAAGCAGAAAAGCTTGCAAAGCTTGCAGAGTCGAAGCAGCAGTCCTCATGCCGGCGCAGGCTACCATCGCTTCATGTGCCGGCTCTCTTACCCTCCGAGGCAGTACCAAACAGTTTGGAGCTGCGAGGGTCCATGTGCAACCCGGTTCACCTGCACAGTGCAGCCTCTTGGTGTGGACAGACTAAACCCAAACCCTAAACCCTCAACCCTGAACCCTAAACCCTAAACCCTAAACCCTAAACTCTAAACCCTAAACCCTAAACCCTAAACCCTAAACCCTAAACCCTAAACCCTAAACCCTAAACCAAAATCTCCGCTGGCCAGGCTACTCGACTTCCGACACTGGACGCTGTTCAGCGTGCCCGGGCTCTTGGAGCCCTGAAGTTGCCACTCGTGGTGGGCACCCCTAAACTTCCTAACCCTGAACTTCCTAAACCCTAAACCCTAAACCCTGAGCTTCTTAAACCCCAAACTTGCTAAAGCCTAAACCCTAAACTCTAAACCCTAAACCCTGAACCCTAAACCCCAATTCATCAGTCGCCTTGCTGATGTTGGTAAACTGGGGCTTCATGGAAGCGTAAGGCCCCAGCTTCGGGCCTTCATCATGGTGTTCTCCATCTTCTTCACGCCCGTCTTCATAGGACGGCGAAGAAAGTCAGATGGGCCGTGATGACCCCTGTGAGTTACTTCGGGTTTTTAGGGTTTAGAGGGTTTATAGGGTTTATAGGGTTTATAGGGTTTATAGGGTTGATAGGGTTGATAGGTTTATAGGGTTGATAGGGTTTATAGGGTTTAGGGGTTGGGGAAGGTCTCTCTGCCTGACAGGAGTTGGGTTGCTGCAGGGTGAGGTGGCTGGCAACAGCGACCCTGGCGTCGGGTTTGCTTTGCTTCCCGGGAGCCCACGACCCCTCAATGAAGGAATGTGAACTGAGCTGCGGTTTTGGGTTTAGGGTTTAGGGTTCAGGGTTTAGGGTTTAGGGTTTAGGGTTTAGGGTTTAGGGTTTGAACATAGGGATCCTTATTCTAAAACAAGCTATACACCCTTCATTGAGGATGTATTTGGGCTCCCTAAGTCTGAGCTGAAACTGTCGTGCTGTGCTTGTCCCGAGCTGCAACTTCTTGCCAGGGCTGCCATGGCAAAATTGCCCACAGGGAGAGCTCAAGGCTCCCTGGGCCCTGCAGACTCTCTGGGTGTAAAGCGATTAATGACGAATGTCAAGAACCATATCTACCAATCTACCTTAACATATTCATCAGAACAATGAAGAATGTTAATAACAATATTCCTTAAAATCTGCCTTAATATATTCATCAGAATCATGAAGAATGTTATTAGCACTATTACAAAATCTACCTTAATATATTCATCAGAATAATAAGAGTTTAAACCTAAACCCTAAACCCTAAACCCTAAACCCTAAACCCTAAACCCTAATTAAGAGTAACAGACCACAGCAGATCAGGGGGAGGTCCTGCAAAGCCGGCCCTCTGCGCAGGCAAATTGCTTCTTGGGCATCCTGGAGATGATCCCCAGCCTGCATCTCAGGGGGGTTTAGGGTTTAGGGTTTAGGGTTTAGGGTTTAGGGATTAGGGATTAGGGCTTCGGGTTCCGGGTTTCGGGTTTCGGGTTTCGGATTTCGGGTTTCGGGTTTCGGGGCTTAAAGGTTTGGGGTTCTCTGGGGCCTTCAGACTAAAGGGGCTTAATGGTTCGGAGTTCTTTGGGGCCTTCAGACCAACCCTACTCCCTTAAACCTAAAGCCTGCGACGGCCCGGCCGAGGCTCCTATGACCCAGAGACCGAAGTCAGCGCGACCACCTTCGGGGAGCGGCGTACTGGCCGAATAGGCTGGGCATGGCTACTTGAGCTTCATGGGTGCTTATAGAACCTAACGCCTAAACCCTGAACCCTAAAGCCAAAACCCAAGTATAAGTCTACTTCTAACCTACTTCGGGGACTTCTGGGGCTTATCAGTACAGTCATGATCGAGGTTGGAAGTACCCATGAACCTCCAAGTACATTCTGCGACAGGCTCAAAGTCCAGCAGGCTCAGGCCTTGTAGGTTGAGTTCAGTGGGTTTTGGGTTTCGGGTAGTTTAGGGTTTAGGGTTTCGGGTTTAGGGTTTAGGGTTCGGGGTTGGTGTGACAGTGGTACACTGTACCACACTGAGGGTTTTGCCAGTGCTAGCATTGAGAATCGCAGGCACGTTGATGATTTGCCTGGCGGGCTACGCGATCTCATCCTCCTTGAAGCTGCTAGTCGCAGCCTTGGGCGAAGCAGCCCTGAGGGGTAAATTTAGATGCGAGCAGCTTAGGGTTTAGGGTTTAGGGTTTAGGGTTTAGGGTTTAGGGTTTAGGGTTTCTTTTGCAATTTTGTCTGGCCCTGCAGCCTTGGCATCCGCAAGGTGCCCGCGGCTATCAGCAACTACTACAAGCGTGAGGAGTGCTGGAACGAACCCTAAACCCTAAACCCTAAACCCTAAACCCTAAACCCTAAACCCTAAACCCTAAACCCTAAACCCTAAACCCTAAACCCTAAACCCTAAACCGGAGCCAAGTTCCTGTAGTTTCAAGCGGTTGCCCGTAGGACAAGTCCGGTGCCAGCAAGCTGAGGGAGCTTATCAATGAGGACTGCCGCGATTTAGGGGTTTAGGGTCTAGGGTTTAGGGTTTAGGGTCTTGTGTCTGCTCATGCTCTCAGTGTTCGAACTTGTCTGCAACGCGCCGCTGGCCAGGAGCAGGCAGAAGAAGCAGCAAAGGGCGAGCGAAATGAATCCGAAAGCGAGGCCGCCAGCCTCATCATGGCTACTTCTGGGTGTTTCATGTTGCTGTTGATTTTCGGCGTGCCCCTGCGTGCCCAGGCTCAAGTGAACCCACAGACGGAGGCCAAGAGCGCGTGCATGTTGCCCTTAAAGAAGGAGATCGGAGCCTGACTGCAGGAGGACAGCGAGATGCCGCCCATTTTCACCACAAGCCTTTGGAAGAGGTGCTTGTTCCAGAGTCAGAGACAACCACATGATGGTCTCTTTGTAAAGTCTACTTTATTCACAGTTTCAAAAACAGTATGTAGTCATCAAGCACACCGCCACGCAACCCACCTCGGTCGGGGCTTTTTGGCTGGTGGGGCCGTGGGAGAAGCCGAAGGCGGGGCAGCAAAAACATGTGGAAAGCACATGGGAAAGGATCAGGAGGAGGTGTAGGAGGGAGGCGGGGCATGCTGTCAAGGGAAAGAATAGAAAACACAACAAAATACAGGAAGTGGCATTTGAGGAGGAGGGGTTAGAGAGGAGGTGTACGTGGCCTGAGGAGGGGGGTGTCATGCTACCCATACACCTACCGGCCAGAGGCCTTGGTGGATTAAGTACGCCTCCGAGCATCCTCGAGGGCTTCAGATCGGCGTCTGCGTCGCGCAGTCGCAGACCTTAGTTCGTGCCCGCAAAGCCAGCGTAAAAGACATGCTGGGAACGATGCACGAAGAGACCTCATTTGCGAGTGCTTCGTCGCATAGTTTTTGACCACAAGCCTACGTCGAGATGTCTGATTATCCTTGGCATCATCTAGAAACTGGTCACCGGGTGCGAAGGTAAAGGCGTGCTGATGTTCCAACGTGTTGTACCAAAACCTGCGTTCATGAAACAAACACACCTTATCACCCTAAACCCTAAACCCTAAACCCTAAACCCTTAACCCTAAACCCTAAACCCTAAACCAACACACCTTCGCATGCCATTGCAACCTCCGAGTTTCCCAGTTTCCAGCTGTGAGGAGATTTCCGCATTCTCAGCATGACCTTTGTATTCCGTATAAGAGACACAGCACCAACTCGAGCCTAATTCTGCATGTTCCGCTTTCCTTCCGCGCAAAGCACTTTGCCAGTGCTTTTTTTTTCACAAAGACGAACCAAAGGCATGCATGTACAGCAACGTTCAGAAGCTGGTCAAGATTCTGGTTGATCGTTGAGAGCAAGTCGGAACCCCTAACAGCCCTAGCAGCATTAAGCGTTTCTACATTGGGCGTGTGTAATCAAATCTCCCGATTCTGGGCTCTCTGTTTTTTTCCGTGAAAGACGACCTTGGGATCCTAATAGGTCCTTAGTACAACACTGGTGCTGTAATTGGAACACATTCCCTGGAGGCTCGGAGGATGCATGTGTAATGCGATTTAAGGTGCATTTCTTAATTATAAGGAATAGCCATGAATAGCCCTTAGATCACAATAGGAACCCCAATATGATTTCTGGCTTTTGCGGTACATTTTTGCGTATGAACGATCCGGTGTTTGAGCAGGACTTGATTTGACATACCGCGGAAATTCGCGAACCCAAGAAACTACGCCACACCCATCGTGTTTAGACAGACTTTCAGTCGCAGAACAATAAAGACTCAGCCTAGGTCCACCTTCAAAAATGCCCCAAGCATTCACCCTCTGACACACATCAAGATGTTTTCTGCATGGCGCAGATAGGGGCTACAGTTAGAGATTGCTGGTCAGCTTGGGATATGTGGAAATGTGGGCTTCGTCCGTGTCGTTTTGGAATGATTGGAGTGCGAGCGCTGCATGTGATGGTAGTTCTATACTCACTCCTTGGCCGGCGATAAAATCCGACAACACCGGACTGACAGCAATACGCTTGAACTTCGTCTGCAGCTGCGCGCACTGCTGTGCCGCGCCAGAAACAGGTCTGCCCTGGCCCTCCTGGTGTACGGCAACGTGGTGGCTGCCGGCATGCTTTGTCCTTGAAATGGCAAGTCTGTATTCGTTGGCGGTTCTTGTTATATTCGTGCATGTGGGGGGGGGGGGGGGGGGAGCTGGGAAGATTAGACGTGGTGAAGTTCTGAAGTGGAAGAAGAAATATCCCGCATAGCAGGCCATTCAGATTGGCCTGATGCGGGGTGCCTTCTCCGACGTGTACCGCGACAACATCATGTTCTTCCTTCTCGGACTCTTCGTTGGCGTCTTAGAACAAGAGCTTAAACTAGACCTGTAGATGTAGAAAGCAGGGGCAGGCCCTGGTTCTGCATGAAGACGCTCCTGCACCGAGGCTATTCGCATCACCATCAAGATCGCTTGCACTAGCTTCATGTGCGAGCTCATGTGAAAACCTCAGCACTGCGTCTTCTCCACATGAGTTAACATCCATTCGGCACATCGCAAGCTGCCGGGACTGCAGGCTCACAGTACCAATTGCCATCACAAACCAGGCAAGGGCTTGCTTCTGAGACGTCTGAGGAGGCCACAAAAACCTGCGTAGCCTTTACCTCCGTCAGACGATGGCAATTTTCACGCTGCTCGCGGCACCGACTCTGTTTGACTTCCTCGCCAAAGCCCGAGCTTCTGCAGATGCTGATGGAGCCCTCAAGGGCAGCCCGTAGCCTCTGAACTGACTGAACTGAGTAGTCGAGTAGCCCTCGAGGTCATGTACGTGGCCTTGATTGGTCTCCAGATGATCGAGCGAATCTACATCGGTCCGAATGAGGAAGCCGTCTGTGGGTTTGGCAATTTTCCGGGTTTGAACCAAGAAGTTGGGGCGGGGGGGGCGACTGGATCAAGCTATGGGTACCTACTCCTAGGTAGGATAAGGGGGACCCTTAAAAGGGAACCCCTTCTTAACCCTCTTCTGGCTCTCTTAAAGAGGGACCTTATTCCTATCCCCTACCTTGCAGATTCTTGTTCCAGTCAGTTTCCCCGCAAGGACGTGGCAATGGGCAAGCTGGCGCAGTGGAAGCGCACCTTCGTGCTCTGGCACAGCTTGGAAAGGGTAGCCGGTTAAACCCCTAAACCCTGAACCCTGAAGCCTAAACCCTAGACCCTAAACCCTAAACCGGGTAGCTGTGCGCAGCTCTTGACTATACCAGGCCATAGCCTGTCTGGGTGGGGGGGGGGGGGGAAGGGGCCTGGGATTCTGCGATTCATTCCGAGAATCTAAGTCGGAGTGTAGAACTTCAGGGGAACTGTTGATGTCTGTACAGCAGTCATCATGTACAAGTAGCATGCATTCAAGATGCTGGGAGTCTTGGGGCGGTTGCCGATTCTGTGCCAATTTGCTGGGAGTGTGTTGGATCTACGCCAGGATGGCTACATGAAGTCCCTGAGCGCAGCGAAGCCGAAGAAAGCGGACGACGACGAGGCCATGAGATGAACCCTAACTATTTAGTAGTAGTAGAGTAGGTAACCTTTAACCTTTTTGGGGTGGTATATTCCCCTTCTAAAACCAAAGGTTAGCCTTTAAAACCCCTAGGTACTGGACAACTAAGCACTGAACCCTCAACCCTAAGTTCTCAAACCCCGAAACCCAGCCAGCCCACCCAGTCTTCACAGGAGTCCGAAGACGAGAAGAAGTTCGAGGACATATCCTCCGAGCTGCGTTTCCCCGACTCCCTCTGCCCCTGACCGCGCTGCCACCCCCCACAATGTGGGGCTTAGGGATATGATTTAGGGTTGTGAGTATGCAAGGACCAGGATGAGATGGAGCAGGAGGGTGAGACCGAGGACGGTCTTGCACTTTAACAATTAAATCTCACGAACGTGACCTTGGTCACTTCAATGCACCCGGGTCAGGAGATGATCTCCTTCCTGGCCACGATATCAGCGGACTCCATTGCCAATCTGGTAGTGCCGACCTTCTATGCGGCTTCGCCCCTGGCGTGTGCTTCGTTGTGCTTCCTCTGGCCTTCCAACCTCACGTAGAGTCTGTAGAGCCGCCTGCCTCTGGCTCAGTTCTGCATGTTGATGTTCGAAGAGTCCCGCGTGCTGAGCAACTTCAGGACTGAATCGCATGACCTCGAACCCAACAAAGGGCCTGCGAAAAGCATGTACTGGTGGGCCCTCCCCCACCCTCCATATCGACTATGCAGGGTGAAGAAAGCTCTTGGTCCAACTACGCCCCAAGGAAGTCTCGAGAGTTGTCCAGAACTCCTGAAGTCTCACTGTAAAAGCAGCTGAGCAGGATTCCGCAGCACAATGCGGAGTTCTACCTGCTCCGGCCTCGGGGGGATGGCATCTACTTGGGCATGATGCTACAGCGGTCGGGGAGTTGAGGGCAGTTCAAATTTCTGAGTGGAGGTACTACCATCGTGCCACGGTGCCACCAACCTGACTGCAGGTATTTCTACATCCTGATGCTCCCCTTCCAGATGATCGCTGACCGCATTTGTGTCAACATTGTGGAATGCTACCACGGCCGCTCGGATGTCTTTACAACTGCAGTTCATTCCAATTTGGGGGTTTCCCGATATTAGGGGTACCTTATTGGGGGTCCTTTTTGATTATAAAGGGATCCTACTATGTGGCAGGTGCCCCATTTTCGTAAACCCATTTGGCTTCACAAATGAAAGCCGGAGGGAGCCGCAGGGGTGGAGCTACCAAAATCATACTCTGCTTAAGGGCACAAGTCCTTTGGCTTACCGCTTGGGTACCAGAAACGGGCCTCGAATTCAGAAATGATTGCCATGTGTAGGGCTTCAGCGGCCTGAATCCTGAACTGTCGGAGTTTAGTGCTTTTTCCAGAGGCTGCGAGGGTCTCGGGATGCTTCGTGGCTTCGACATAAGGGTCCTTTTGTGGAATCCTTTTGAGAAGGGATTCTATTCTAACAGTTACCAAAGAGGGGCCCTAGTCTTGCTCTCATACGGTGTGCAAGTTGCGCGTCCCCCCCCCCTCCCCAGAGACCTGCACACCTTGCGCCAGGCTGGAAAGTCACGGACTATTTGGAGTATTGCCGAGCACTTATGACCGTACCTGCTCACAATATGCGGCCAACTCACAGTCTGCACTGCCACGGCAGCTATGATCCTTATCGTCCCGGCTTGCACTACATGGTGCTCCAGCATTGAGACCCACCGGAAGATTACCAAGTTGGTTGAGTGGTTTGTGTCAGCCCATGGGCCCATGGTGGCATGCAGAAAGTCGTAAGATGTCATAAGCATGCGGACTCTACGCCCTATCCGCGGCCAACGGCCGATGGAGTCGACGCCAGGTCCACATGCGTGGCAACAGTCCGTATTGCATGTGAACTATTCAAGTCCAGAAAATATCATGGTTCTGTGCAAGTAATACTAATGATGCACAACGTGCGGCCAAGCCCAGCCGGGTGGCGCCCACGGCAACTCCTGAACTGCGCACGGCCATATGCACTACAGCTATAATAACTATTATTACTACTACTACTACTACTACTACTACTACTACTACTACTACTACTACTACTCCCACTACTCCCACTACTCCCACTACTACCACTACTACCACTACTACCACTACTACCACTACTACCACTACTACCACTACTACCACTACTACCACTACTACCACTACTACCACTACTACCACTACTACCACTACTACCACTACTCCTGTTTCATCAGCATGGAGAAAAGCTTTCAAAACTGCCGCCAAACCTCAGAGCAGTGTCTTGGCTGACTTATCGGCCATGCTTGTCTGTCAAATGACCCGAAGCCCAAGCCCTGCATCCAGCCTCGAGGGCAGGAGCGTTTGGGGTTTAGGGTTTGGGGTTTAGGGGTTAGGCTTAGGGCTTAGGGTTCAGGGCTCAGGGTTTAGGGTTTAGGGTTTAGGGTTTAGGGTTTAGGGTTTAGGGGCAAAGAATAGCTGAGTTCGTGAGCGCTTGAAAGTGCAACAGTGCGAGCGATTTGCCTGAGGCGCGTACCGCTTCATTGTCCGAACCACAGACTGGAAGGCTCCAGCCTTAAAACCCTAGAACACTCATTAAGTGGAGGGTTCATGAGGGACCACTTGGGGCAACATGAGCATCGTGGAAACATTCGTTGTCGTCCATGCAGGGCAAGGACAACGTTCTCGACCAGACGCTGTCTCCGCACGTGCATCTCGGCTTGGAGCCGAAAGATGCTAACCCTAAACCCTAAACCCTAAACCTTAAACTTACCACCCTAAACCCTAAACCCTAAACCCTTAGCAAACAATGGAAGCTCAGCCTTAGAGCTGTTTCTAGCAGAGGGCTGGCTATGACTCCATTCAGGTGCTTGGGCTTTGCTCTTGGTAGAACGACCATGAGCCCGTTGAACAGAAAAAAGCAAGCAGCCCACAACCTGTGGTCTCCAGGCGCTCCATCGACCAGATGTGCTTCTCGGACCAGCCCGTACCCCTAGAGTGACAGTGCCGCCACCGCGGAAGGGATTTGTCTATGTTTGCCTCTCCCAGGTAATGCAACTGTGCAGAGGATGCGGCTTCTGCATCGGATGTTCCTGTGCTAACGTACTGTAGGAGGAGCAGTTGAATCATTTTGGGGGCTGGAACGATCTTGTAATGACAATGTGGCCGTGCCGTCGGAGCTCGTACAACGGGGAGCAGATTGCCCCCGAGCATCCGAAGCCAAACCCAAACTCAACAGCAAGTGCTTGAGCACCCCCGCCAGCAGAGTGCTTCTCTCAGCCAAACTACCCTTCTCGACCCTCCGCGTAGGTTAGGGCGGGGTGGTGGGGATGGTACGAGATCCCAGCAAGACAACTCCAACTCCTCTCAACCCTCAGCCCTAAACCCTAAATCAAGGTTCTATTTCGTCTGCCTCATGCAGACGATCGGCGCGATGTCGCTGGTCTTCGGCATGCAGATCATCTTCGAAGCCGGGTTGGGAGCTCCCAGATTTCTGGGGCTTTTGGGGAATTTGAAGGGGGTTTTTGAGGGTTTCAGGGTTTAGGGCTTAATGTTTAGGATATCTCTGAGGGTTCTGGGTGTGGGAGTTTGAGGGGTTTAGGGTGTATAGGGGCTTGCGGCATTGAGATGCTTAGCCACGTTGTGCCGCCACTGAGTCAGTGGTTTGGGCTTGGGTTGTGTTGATGGCGCAGGTTTGGACTGAAGCTTTAAAGTCCGGGCTTGTTTATGTGCGCATGGTTAGTGAGTTGAGCAGTTCTCTATACATTGTGATCCCCCCGTCTCGGAGTTCCCATCTTTTTCGTGCCTTAACGTGCTATGAAAAAGGGGACCATTCTTGTCAAACCCCGAGGCCTCAGGGAAAGTCCTTGGCCCCAAAGCTTTCTGAGCAGCCCCCCTAAACTGGTGGTTTTCAGGGCTGACTTCTTAAGACTTCTTCCTAGCAGAGAATAAGGGAACTCGGTCCCTTGCTTCCCCCCTTCCCCCAAAAAAAAGACACTTCTGAGATCAGATCAGAGCAACCCTATAAGCCCCAAACCCACAAAAGACACGACGTTAGGATTCCAGTAACCCTAAACCCTAAACCCTAAACCCTAAACCCTAAACCCTAAACCGAGGTGGAACATCTTCGAGGATCCTGCGACTCCGGTTGTCCTCTTCTACGCCCTGTGCCTCTGCAGAGGCCAAAGCAGCTGCTTAAGGTTTTAGGGTTTAGGGTTTGGGGTTTGGGGTTTAGAGTTTAGGGTTTAGGGTTTAGGGTTTGGGGTTTAGGGTTTAGGGTTTAGGGTTCTCTAATCTCTGCTCCAAACCTTGCCAGCCTGTTCAGATGGTTAGGTCTTCCTGCCGAACAAGCCTTCTTCTGCACATGACATATCTTGCTTTCTCTTCGAAACATAGTAGGAGCTCCAGCTCAACACGGCAATGCATGAGTACGCTTCCCTTTTCTCACACACTTAAGAAGGGTCTGAGAGGTTGAATTCGGGCAGTTCAGCGCCAGCTACTGTGACACCCGCGCGCGAGCTCTCAACTTCCGATACATCATTCCTCCTGTCGTCCTCTCTGAGTGGCTTCCTAAACCCTAAACCCTAAACCCTAAACCCCCTAAACCAAGTTGGCTCTGTGCGGTGGTGCCGTGCCGATCAGGCACAAGCGCCATGACCGGAGTTTCAGCTGCATACTTGAAGATCTGGGCCAGGAGCTCACGGTTTAGGGTTTAGGGTTTGGGGTTTAGGGTTTAGGGTTTAGGGTTTAGGGTTTAGGGTTTAGGGTTGGGTGTTGGTTTTTGGGTGCGCTCAAAGGCTCAATGCTTCATTGCTTCTGCGTGGCAGAAAGCCTCGGGTAATCTGGCACAACGGCTCCTCGTGACTCAAATGCTGTCACTGTCAACTGTCATTGCCTTTCGGTATCAGTGCTCAGGGGCTGGTATGTGCAATGAGGTGGTCCGCTACCGTACCTGGGCTGAGTCGGGCTACCAGCAGGCCAGCCCGTTGACTCACGTGCTTCGAATATGGGTTTGTGTTTTTTTGGGGGGGCCAGGTTTAAGAAGGGCACACGGGTTGCACACCCGCGAAACACACCCCGAAACATACCCCGATAAATACCCCCGAAACATACCCGCGAAACATACCCTGATCCCAACACCTGTCGCCCGCCCCCCCCCCCCCCTTACAACACAAACCCATATGGCCTTGAAGCTCGCTGTATCGGAGGCAGCATAGTCTGACTATTCCAGGCAATCATGAAGAAAATGCAGGCTATGTCCGGAAGCACTGTGCGTGCCTCGGGCTGTGGCAGCTCCACTGTGGCAAGGAGGGAAACCACAGATGGAGGCGTCTCAGGCTCCATCACCTCTTCAGGGTGGGCGTGCACAAGTAAAAGTTTTCAAGCAGTGTCTTGGACACTTCAGCTATGTCTTGCTGAAGACGCGGCCTAGAATGTCTAGTGAAAGTCTCGGCGTTTATAGGGCTTCGGTTTACATAAGTTTCAGGGCATAGGGCCGAAGCAGATCTCCACAAACTCCCAGGAAATCCGGATCCTCCAAGTTGGCTTAGGCTTCAAGCTTTGAGGGTTTGTAGAGTTCAGGGATTAGGGTTCAGGGAGTCTCTAAACACAACTCAGCTGGCTTCTGAAGCCGACTTAGGCAGATGAGAAGCCACCGCCGCCCCCCGCCGGCTCCGTGCACGATGGCTGGCCAGAGACGGAGCCTCATTCGACGCAGAGCTCTCCCTGAGGGGTCCATGTACCTATGCCGTGAATATAGATACAAACATGAATGCAAAAGGCATATTTCTTATAGATAGGTATATATGTATATGTACATGTATGTACATGTATGTACACGAAAATGTCTGTATGTATGTATGTATGTATGTATGTATGTATGTATGTATGTATGTATGTATGTGTGTGTATGTATGTGTATATATATATATTATAGATGTATGGGCCTAAATCAACACTGTGTAAAACTGTAGAACCCCGCTGGGGCCCAAGTATCTACCTGTATGGGTACATGGCTTTCTGGGGCCTGGCGTTCTTACGACTCCCTTGTCCAGGATTTAGGGGGAGGAAGCTTAAAAGCTTGGGTTCAGGGTTTAGGGTTTAGGGTTTAGGGTTTAGGGTTTAGGGTTTAGGGTTTAGGGTTTAGGGTGGATTTGGGATTCAGGGGGTTGGGACGTGGGTGTGGGCAGTGAGAGAGCGCGGAGGCCCGCCCACTACGACAAGCATGGCATGGAGAGGCCACGGCCTCGGCAAACCTAAACCCTAAACCCTAAAATGCTTTTAGGGTTTAGGGTTTAGGGTTTAGGGTTTAGGGCTTCGCGCCTTCACTCAAGTCAAACCCTGTAAATCCAACCAAGCTTCCCAAGACTTGCAACCCTTCAGGGTGAGTTGAGTTGCCTTGGATGCCAGTTGGGGATGTACGGGCATTTCCCCCCTAGTATACCCCCAATCCTTATCAATGTTGGATGCTGATTGGTGTCAACCGCCCCCCCCCCCCCCCCAAAAAAAAAAAAGAAGATAATCTCCCCCCATAGTATGGGGGAGAGGGGGGGGGGGGCAATTGGGTGGGGGGCTGGATATGATGTTTATAAGGGATCCAGGCGATTTTACATGTGATGCGTTTATGTGAGTTTAAAAGGAGTCCATACGCGCTGAGTTTAGCGGTTTTTCACAAGGGAAGCCTCGCCGAAGTTTCGCATCGCCCGAACTGTTTTTCACAATTTCGAGGGCTCTCGTCAGTTTGATCCCGCTGAAGACCTTCCGGATTTGTTCCCCACCTTCGGTGTGGGGTTGTTAGATTTGAAACTCAACTCTTCTCCTCGCCCGGAACTCTTCTCCTCGCCCGGAACTCTTCTCCTCGCCCGGTCTACTCCTCGCTCATCCCTGCAGTCCCCTCCCCCAGAGTGTCCCTGGAGTGCCCAACCCCAGTTGCAAGCAACAACTAGAAACGAGTATTTGAATCAATGTGTCTTTGTTTGAGCATCTTTTTTGCGTTCTTTCTCTTTACCGAGGATCAAGGTGGGGATGTTCGAGGTAAAATGCATTTTCACAATTTCGGAGGATAGCACTATGTTTCAGGATACAACTAAACCCTAAACCCTAAACCCGAAACCCTAAACCCTAAACCCTAACCTCCAAAAAGGGTTTCTAAGCCTGAAGCCCTGGACTCCATGTTTCCATCTGAGTGCATTTTGGGTGTAACTGTTGGGGAGGCTGAAACCCTAAACTCCTAAACCTCTAAGGTTTTAGGGTTTAGGGTTTAGGGCTTAGGGTTTAGGGTTTAGGGTTTAGGGTTTAGGGTCCCTAAACACCTACAACCCTGAACCCCTAAGCCCTCCTGAGTGCCGGGAAACCCGCAGCGCGAGAACCCTGAGCTGCAGGGTTTGGGGGCCTTAAGGGCTTAGGGGTTCAGGGCTGTAGGTGTTTAGGGACCCTAAACCCTAGACCCTAAACCCTAAACCCTAAACCCTAAACCCGTAGAGGTTTCGGAGTTTAGGGTTTCGGGTGGCAAGGTATCGCGTGGCTTTCCTAGCCGAGAACCAGCTTTGGCTGCAGGCAGGCGCCCCAGTTCAAGGCTACTGAGGATGGTGTTCGGTGTTGGGTTCACTTCAGGGTTTTTAGGGTTTAGGGCTTAGGGTTTTCGTGTTTGCAGGTTTTGTGGCTGTAGGGCTTACATGCGCATAACCATGCAGCAATGCAAGGTCGCTGTGTCGGAGATGATGGACAAGAAGACGCTGGAAAAGTCAGCTCGCCAGCTTTTCCCGCCCATGAGATTCCCGATCGATAGGCGAAGCGTCCCTTGGACATCGGTCATCTGTTGATCATCGCAAGCCCGGTCCTCCGAATCATTTCTTGCGTCTGAACTTGACCTGTTGGGCAGCAGGCGGTCTGCGCACAAGCCATTCTGTGACGGAGCCCTACACCCTAAACCCTAAACCCTAGGGCAGCCTCTGTTTAGAAAAAGGCGTTTTGAATCCTACAGCGGGTGTTGCATCTTCCAGGCACCGCGAAGACCTCCTGGATGGCTTGGCCACCATCGTCAACGAGGCTGCTGCTCCTCAGGGTTTAGGGTTTAGGGTAGGGTTTAGGTTTTAGGGTTTAGGGTTTAGGGTTTAGGGTTTAGGATCCATACATGATGTATGGACTTACCCAGACCCTGAACCCCAAACCCCTGGACCCTAAACCTCTCACTGTACTTTAGGGTCTCGGGTTTAGGGTTTAGGGTTTAGGGTCTAGGGTTTAGGGTTTAGGGCTTAGGGTTTAGGGTTTAGGGTGCCTGAGAGCACCACAAAAACCCTGCTGGAAAACTGTTGAGGTGGCTCCCAAAGACTATGCGGCCGAGGGCACCGAGCCTGTCGAGAAGGCCTCCGCCAGCTTCCGCGATTTGGGTGCTTCTCAACATTATGGTCCCCCAGAAAATTATGGTCCCGGATAAAAGGACGATCTCTAAAAACATTATGGTCCCTAAAAAATTTAGTCCCGAAAATATGTGATTTAGGTGTTTTCGGGGTTCAGAGGCTAGGGTTAGGGCTATACCACATGGGTGGTTGTCAACATCATGGTCTTTTTGGGCCCTGATATACTACAGCACCTCATGTTTTGGGTGTCCAAAAAGGACCCTAATATTGTCAACTACCCATTTTGACGACACAGACTCTTAAGAATGCATAAACGCATCAACATGATTGATAAGTTGAGTAATCTTAATACGACTAAGAACTTGAATCATGCGATTGACGTTAAAAATGTATATAGTATCTGTAAAACCAATAAGAAAGACAGATTCAGAGTGTTTATATAATTTTCAACATATGAATAGTATGCATAATCATAACATTCCTAATATGAATAATACTAGCAAAATTAATGGTATGAATAATGTTCGTTATATTCAGAATATTGACAATATTGACAATGTTAACCATTTTATCCAGATCAACAACAATATTTATAATAAATTTGCCAGATTAAAAGTTTATAAGAATAATTCTCCTAATCATACGAATAACATTCAGAATAACAATATTCAATGTATTAAGAAACCGAATGGTATGAACACAAATGCTAATAGGATTAATGCTGCTAGTAATGCGAGTAATCTTCATAACATTCACAGCCTTCACAATATTATAATATTCAGAAGGTCAATACTATTAATACCACATCCCAAAAGGACACCTCGATGCCAAGACCTCACTTGCGCGAAGGGAGCACGACATGTCCAAGACGGAGCCACACGAAGCTATTGTGAGCCATACTAAGCTACTGGGTTGTGGGTTTTGGGTTTTAGGGTTGAGGGTTTAGGGTTTAGGGATACTAAGCCATACTAAACAAGACTAGACAGCACGACGCACGACCCTCGAACACATACGAACTGCACCAAAAACACACGAAACCAGACGAAAACCATAGGAAACCACACCCACACCACACTGGCCCCAAACCCTCAACCCTACACCCTAAACCCTTACCCTAAAGCCTTAAGCCTAAACCCCAAACCGTAAACCCTAAACCCTAACCCAAAAGCCGAAACCCCAAACCCTGAACCTCAGATCCTAAACCCTGAACCCTATATAAAAACCCTAAACCTTAACCCAAAAGCCTGAACCCAAAACCCTGAACCTCAAGTCCTAAACCCTAAACCCTTAAAAAAAAAAACAACCTGAACCCAAAAGCCTGAACCCAAAACCCTGAACCTCAAATCCTAAACCCTAAACCCCATATATACCTTAAACCTCAACCCAAAAGCCTGAACCCAAAACCCTGAACCTCAAATCCTAAACCCTAAACCCCATATATACCTTAAACCTCAACCCAAAAGCCTGAACCCAAAACCCTGAACCTCAAATCCTATATAAACCCTAAACCCTTAAAAAATCAGAAAAAATGAATACAAACTAAACCTGAACCCACAAGCCTGAACCCTAAACCTTGAACCTCAAATCCTAAACCCTAAACCCTAAAAGATACAAAAAAAATGAACAATAAAAAGTAACAGTAATAAAACTAAGCCTGAACACAAAAGCCTGAACCTCAAATGCTAAACCCTAAACCCTAAGAAAATAAAAACAAATAAAAACAAATAAATAAAAAACTAAACCTGAACCCAAAAGCCGGAACCCAAAACCCTGAACCAGCCCAGGAGATGTTCCAGTTCCTACTATTTAAAAAAATGAAAACAACACAAATATAAAAAAAAAAAAAAACTGAACCCAAAACCCTGAACCCAGGAGATGTTCCAGTTCGGGGCAGCGCCGGCGATGGACCTGGCACGGGCAGCTTCAGAGGCTGGGAGCCGACCGATCGGTTTTTTGGGGGGTTTAGGGATGTTGAAGGTTTCGGTTTAGGGTTTAGGGATGTTGAGGGTTTAGGGTTGAGGGTTTAGGGTTTAGGGATGTTTAGGGTTTAGGAGTTGAGGGTTTAGGGATGTTTAGTGTTTAGGGGTTCAGGGTTTAGGGTAGTTTGGACTTATGGATAGGACCTTGGGGTGTCCTATTTTGGTAAGAGCAGCAGTATCGTTGTGTACTTTCTATGCGGCTATGAATAGTCCTACACCACCCCCCGCCCTCCCTCCTACCCCTACACCTCCCCTCGCCCTACCCTCCTCCCGCCTAAACCCTAAACCCCTAAACCCTAAACCCTAAACCCTAAACCCTAAACCCTAAACCCTAATTAAGTAGGTTTAGGGCTTTGAGAGTCCCCCCGGCTCCCATGGAGCTGTCATGCCAGATCCAGCGGGAGACCTACGAGAACTCGGCTCTGCGCCAGCTCATGAGGCTTTCGCAGGGAACAGGGCTCTTTTCGGGTTTGGGGTTTAGGGTTTAGGGTTTAGGGTTTAGGGTTTAGGGTTTAGGGTTTAGGGTTTAGGGTTTAGGGTTTAGGGTTTAGGGGGAACCTGGGTCCAGCCGAATGAACCAGAAAGAAGAGTGGTGGGGGTCAGAGCGAGCAGATGACTTGAGAGGCTCGTGAGCGCTTTCAGACCGAAGCAATCTGATTTCCAGAACAGGATGTGGCGGGAGCGTGCCCAGTTCATGCTCTTCCTACAGCAAGTCTCAGCCATGGTCGGAGCCTGAGAGAGCCTCAAAGTAGCTTTCCAAAGCACCCAACGATACCCAAAAGGCCCGAACCTTGAGGCACAGTTCGGCACGGCACGTGCCCCCCCCATGTTTCCATTGGCAGCTCTGAGCTCTGGACGGTTTGCATTTTTAACCGAAAGAGTGGCAAAGTAGGGTTTAGGGTTTAGGGTTTAAGTTTAGGGTTTTGGGTTTTGGGTTTAGGGTTTAGGGTTTAGGGTTTAGGGTTTAGGGTTTAGGGTTTAGAGACAAGGAAGGTCTGCTTCGCTCAGCATCCTTCTTCCGAGGTGAAGCTGGACAACTACCAGCGGCGTGATGCCTGCGAGATCTGTGGGAAGGCAAAGGACCAGCTTCCGCTGGTCGTGCTGCCCATCTATACTCTCCTGCTCGGATCCCAGGTGGCTGCAGCGGAGATACAGGGTTTAGGGTTTAGGGTTTGGGGTTTAGGGGGTTTTCGGGTTTAGGGTTTGGGGTTTAGGGAGCTGTGATCATCTGAGGCATGTACGGCCGAGTGGAGATACATTTCTAGCAGTCTTGTTTGGCCGAGGCACTTGGCATCCCTGTACCGAGAACAGAGAGATATGCCAGATTCTCAGAGCGTTCCAAAGTCATTCATGGGCTTCCACTCTCCTGTTCCTGTGGAGGTCCCCGTTGTGGAACACCCCACTGTGGAAGCACTTCTACCAGACCTTCACTCCAACCTGCACGCTTTGCGAGGACCGGCTGTGCGCATGTGCGAGCCACCAAGCCAGGCGGTGTTTTTTGCAAGGCCCTGAATCTTGGCCGCTGTGCAGGAGTGCGCCAAGTATTACCACAAGCGTAACACCAACATCCCCGTCAACGAGAAGCGCTACCAGCGCTTGCAGGCGCAGGGCCGGGAAACAACAGTTCGCTTAAGCCGTCTTTGAATCGATTAAACTCCCTGAGGCATGTGTGACCCAAAACGCCCACTGCAACCCTCAGAACGAACGAATCGCACCTCCCTGCGCCCCTTATAGCGCCCAAATTGCAGGCGAAGCAGAAGAGCGCGTACGAAAAAGTCAGGCAGGAGCCAGGGGTTCGGCGGCTTCCTTGCTTGCCGCTATCTGGGAGATGTTCTCAGCCTCCAGGCGTCTGCTTTTTCTCAGTCCTAGCAAAAAAAAGAATCCAGAATCCCACCCAAAAATTTGTACCAATTTGGGAAAGCCCCATCGATGGCGTGAGTACTCTGACATGTTCCACGCGATGATGGCGCAGGGACCCACAGCATGTCAGCTGAACAGACAACGCCAAAAGGCCCTGAATTCCTGTGGTTCGGGTGTCGGGCAAGCCGCGGACCGGCGACTCCTAGACCTAGAAAGGCCCAAACCCATGTCCCCAAGACGTGCTGCGCGTTCAGGGTGAGCGATTACCCGGTGATCACTATGGAGCCAGAAATGAAGCAGGCGCGGGCCCCAGAGGGTTAGTTGCGTTGCCGTGGGCTTAGGACTGACTAGGGCGTCTCGTTTCGTTTCGGACTCCGTTCTGAACCCTAAACCCTAAACCCTGAACCCTAAACCCTAAACCCTAAACCCTAAACCCTAAACCCTAAACCCTAAACCCTAAACCCTAAACCCTAAACCCTAAACCCTAAACCCTAAACCCTAAACCCTAAACCTAACCCTAAACCCTAAACCCTAAACCCTAAACCCTAAACCCTAAACCCTAAACCCTAAACCCTAAACCCTAAACCCTAAACCCTAAACCCTAAACCCTAAACCCTAAACCCTAAACCCAACCCTAAACCCTAAACCCTAAAACCTAAACCCTAAACCCTAAACTTAAACCTTAAACCTTAAACCTGAGGTTTTGAACCTCTGGCTCCAATGGACAAGATGCATTGTCCGAGACGAGCGCCCGCAAGACTTCCTGCCGCGCTTCGGCATCGAAGGACAGCGGGAGCAAAAGGCATATTATGTTCCAACCCAATACGTAGATGTATTATGTATATAAAATATGTATATATACATATATATATATATATATACATATACGGATTATTTGTTGAGTGATTTGTAAATTGGTATTGTTATTACTATATACAGCTACATAGAGACACATATGTATATATATATATATATATGCATTGTGCATCTGGCTCGTGCTCGAAGCTCTGACCCCTTAACCCAAATCCGCACAACTAGATTGTCCCTTCTAGGGGTTATGCGTGGGGGAAAAATGAAGGCACCCCCCGGGTTCCCCACATCGTTCAGAAAAGCCCTGGAAGTTTCATTGGATGCGAGGACGCACCATGCAGGAGATCAGAAAGGAGTTGCTGGACAAGGCCTACTGGAGGTTTTGGGATGTCAGGGTTTTTTTGGAGCTTTTTGGCTTTTTGGAACTTTTGGGCTAAATTATAGGGTTTGGGTGGGTTTAGGGTTTAGGGTTTAGGGTTTAGGGTTTAGGGTTAGGGTTTAGGGTTTAGGGTTTAGGGTTTAGGGTTTAGGGTTTAGGGTTTAGGGTTTTTGAGGGCCAAAAAGTGGTGCACCTGGGAGTAGTATTCGTGGTGATGCGCGGAAGCTGCGGTGTGAATGTAGATCGCACGCACGATGTGCCCAAAACCCTAAGCCCCTAAACTCCAAAACCCCTAAATCCCTAAAAACATAATCCCTACACCCTAAACCCTAAACCCTGAACCCTGAACCCTGAACCCTAAACCCTAAACCCTAAACCCATCCTACTAAGCTCTTCAACCCTTACCCTCACCAAGTCTGCCTGTGGCAATGTAGCTCCTCGCAGGGTGGAGCCGACGATGTGTCTGGATCCAAGCCGACCAGTTTAGGGTTTAGGGTTTAGGGTTTAGGGTTTAGGGTTTAGGGTTTAGGGTTTAGGGTTTAGGGTTTAGGGTTTAGGGTTTAGGGTTTAGGGTTTAGGGTTTAGGGAGGGCTTGGGGTTTAATATCCCACCCTCTTTAGTAGTTCCCTCCCCTCCCCAGAACAGTCGAAGCTGGTTTGCGCCCTGTTTACACAGCCCACGGGTTTTATATGATTTTAATAGGGAGGAGTTGATAAAAAGGGCAGCGATGCCCAGCAGTTGATTTTAAAGGCGCGCCGCACGCAATTTTCTTACGGAAACCCGGAGCGTTTGACTTGATTCAGAATCCCACCGCTCACCCCCAAACAGTGACCGTGTCCTGAATAGCACTAATAGCACAGCAAACTTGACCTTAAGCAGGGCCCCCCACTAAAGCAGGTGGAACTTTAGGGTTCAGGGTCAGGTAGGGTTGTAGGGAGCTTAGCGTTTGGGAGTTGAAGTTTAGGGCGTAGAATTATGGATTTCAGGCTTTCGAGGGCAGGTTTTGTTTAGCATGTTCGGGATTTTTCGGGTTCGCTTTCAAGTTGTATAGCGTGTTTGTGTTTAAGGTTCTGGGTGTTTAGTGCGAGGTTTCTTGGGGTCTTTTAGTGTTTCGGTCCCTAACAACCCCCGAACAATCCCCGAACAGTAGACTAAACCTTAAACCATCACATCAGCAGATCTCCTCGGAGCACAACTATGCCATAACCCCCAAACCAAGGTCACTGCCTTCAGTCTCGGACAAGGAGGACGAGGCACATAGCAGCTAAACCTTACATAACGCTCTAAACCCTAAATCCTAAATTCTTGCACACACACACACACACAGTTGTATGCATATATATATATATATACACACGCACAACCCCCCTTGAAAAACATCGGACGTAGGAAGGACCAAATTCGACCGTGGCGCTTAGGGCTTAGGGTTTAGGGTTTAGAGTTTAGGGTTTAGGGTTTAGGGTTTATGGCACCAGGCTGCTGCAGCTGATGATGATGGCATCAAGGCGGGCGATCAACCCCTTCATACACGAGGGCTTACTTGGAGGCTCATGATATGTTTTGGCCAATGAAAACTGTACTTATAACCCACTTATAGTGGTTAGAAGGACAGTTATAATTTGTTAATAATGAAGTACAGTCAACCTCCAAGTAGGGCTTCGAGTTCAGTTCCAGCATGGTTCATATAATCACTGGCGGCTTGCCTATCTCCTACACCCTCCAGCTTGTTGGGAGAATAACCCCTAAGCCCTAAACCCTACACCAACAGCTCTGGTTTAGTTGAAGGCGGCTGGCTTAGGACTGCTTCCGAGCTTTGCAGAAACGTGACAAAGCCTACAATAAAGCCTAAACCCTTGACTCCCTTAAAGCCTGAAGTATCTAAGACCTGCCGAAACATCTTAACCCTAAACCGTAAGACTAGACCCGAAGCGCGAAGCACGCCCTGATCCGATGAATCCCGAAGGGTAGACTCTCACACAGGATCCCCGAAAGATCGACTTGGATGCGGACGATCTCCCGCAGAAACCACCTCTCAAGGCTTCATACACTCGCATTTAGGGTTTAGGGTTTAGGGTGACTCTGCAGTTTGAGGTTTGGGGTTAGGGTATCTCCGCCTTAGGTTTTCGGGTTTTGGCGCTCTCGAGTTCTTAGGCCTGGGCTTTATGTGAAGTTAAGGGTTCCGAGCTGCTTAGACGGGTCCCAGCGAAGAGAATTCCTAAGGCTCAGACCTGCGAAAAAGTGACCATCAGCCTGCTGATACTGAAAGGGGCACTGGGTTTAGAATTTATGGTTTAGGGTTTAGGGACTGGTACCTCCTGAATGCTACACTCCCATCACCTCTCGCCCAGTGGAAGGTGGAACTTAAGTTCAGGTTCAGCAGGCTATTGGTTCTCTCTACAAGGCCCCCACACCTCATGAAAGACAAAACCCACAAGTGCAAGTCCCAAGACTATAAAGCCCTATAAGTATTGATCCTCAACCCCAAACCCTAAAGAACCCTGAACCCCAAACTCGGCTCCTTATAGGGCAACCTAAACCTGCTATACCCTACGAACCTCACACCCCGAACACTAAACCCTAAACCCCCTAACCCCTAAACCCAGAAGAAACTCCTAAAGAATCCTAAGCCCTATTCCCTGAACTCTAAACCCTAAACCCTCCCAAACCCCCTAAACCTTAAAGAACCCTAAAGAACCCTGACCCCCAACCACTCCTGGTGGTTGCCAGGTGCCCAAGTCTTTGACCTGGTCAGAAGAGTCGATCATGCGGTCTTGGCTCCACAGAGCCCGCGACAGCCTCCAGGCCAGCTGGGGAGGGTGTGGGAGTTGTGGCTTGAGGGTTTAGGCTCTAGGGTTTCGGGTTTAGGGTTCAGGGCTCTTGTGATGTTTGGGTCCGGGGCTTAGGGGGTCTTGGGGGTTTGCTACGGGTTTTTTGAGGTTAGACTGTCGGGGGTTCTGGGATGAACCCTGAACCGCATATTACACACATACGTGCATACAGCCATCTATTCTGCACATTCTAGATATATATATATATATATGTATATGATTTATGTAGTTATTGATGTGTTCATTTATGTATGCAGCTGCTTATTTGATCCTAAATCCCAGGATCCTGGAACCCTAAACCCTCAATCCCCGGCAGAGGCACCCCAGACCCTAAACCCTAAACCCTAAACCCTAAACCCTAAACCCTAAACCCTAAACCCTAAACCCTTAACCGCCGAGGCGCCCCAGACAGTCAGTTGGATGTATCCCGTCGAAGCTGGGTCCGACGCCCAAGCGAGTTCGTGATGGAGCATCGAAGCTCAGGGTTTAGGGTTTAGGGTGTAGGGTGTAGGGTGTAGGGTTTAGGGTTTAGGGTTTAGGGTTTAGGGTTGGTTGGGAAAGTTGTTTGGGTTCAGGGTCCTTAAACCTCCCCAAACAACAGCCCTGAGCCTTATACCTCATGAAATTGAGATCCCTGAACCCTGAACCCACAGACAGCTTTGGGCTCATATGAGGGCACCCTGTGTTGTCGTTGTCCGGCGTTGCGCCCAACCCCCTAAACCCGAAAGCCCTAAACCCCTACTAAGGCAATCCTCGTCATCTCAAGCCGATGTCCAGGAGTCCAGGCCTACCACGACATTCTGTGGCCGCGAGTTTAGGGTTCCCCTGTTTAGGCCTTAAGCATGTACATACCATATATATCTATATACATATATATACATTTATTTATTCATTTGTTTAGTTATGTGTACATGTATGCATGTAAACTATAAGGCCAAGACTTTGGGGCATGCCCTTCAGACCTTAACTCCAAGGCGGAAACGTGCATCCAGCCGGCCCAAAATGCCCCCCCTTTTTGATGCACGCAGGCCAGAGGAGGCAACGAAGTCAGGCGTCCGATTTGCTGCTACCCATGACGATGACGAGGACTAGGGTTTAGGGTTTGGGGTTTAGGGTTCAGGGTTAGGGTTTAGGGTTTGGGGTTTCCCTGCATCGCCCGCAACAACACTGAACAGCTTCTTGTTTCGACTTGGAGTATGGTTCGGACTTGGTGCAGCTGAGTGTGACAGTGGATATGTGTTGGTGGTTGTCAAAATTATGAGCCCTTTTGGGGTACCCTAAATATTATGTGCCGTATTTTAATAGGATCCAATACGGGACAATAATTTTGACAACCACCCGTGTGTGTAGTTTGTTGTCCGCTTCAGGCTGCTGCCTGCTGAGTCGCTCATGTCAGCGCACCTTGCAACATTGTTCGACGCAGGGGTATCCGGCTGCCTTGCTACGCATTGCATGTAAAGCCCTGATGCCTGGCCGTCTGGCTGCTTTCACTTCTCACGTGCGTAGCATCACATGCTGCCATGTAAATCGACTGCATGCTGAAAGGAAACTTTAAGGGACTAAAGGAGGGACCCTGACACGTGGCGGAAAAAGAGTAAGCGTCCCTTCTAGGGGTCCCTCCTCCTACCCCTTAACAAACTGGTAGATGTAGTAGATAGACAGGTCGAAGAGCGGGGCTCCCCAACCAGGGCAGCAGTTGGGATTCCAGAAGTGGTTGTCCTGTTTTGGTTTTTTTCAGTGCCGAACCTGCCAGGACTAGCCTCAGTGAGCAGGCATCGCCACTTGTCATCTTCGTGCAACTCTTGCCTAAGCTGCAAGAGCACTTGAAAATGCAACCTCTTCAGTCACCCCACACCTCAGCCTACAGTCGACGGGTCATTTATTGGGGCTAGCGGCTAGCGCAACAGCATGATGCAAGGCTAAGCAACGAAGCTCGGAAGTTGATTGAGACGATGCACTTGGGCTTCACGGCTTCACAGGCTGTGGCTGCCTAAGGTTGCCACAGACGTGATCCCAAGGAAGCTGTTGTAAGATCTCGCGTGCCAGCCGGGTAGTTTGCATACCTTCTTTGCATGTGCTGAAGTGTGGGCTGTCCGAAGGAAAGATGTACATGAATTCTTGAAGCCTGGGAGGAAAGTCTCTCTTCAGGATGCATTTCGGCACCCTTTTTTCGTCGCAGCATGTTGCAAGAAGAGGCTTCCAAAACTTTGCGAATGAAGTCCTGGCTCTGAGTCTTCAGTAGGATTGAGTTGAGGAGCTTCGGCTTGAGAATCATTGGAGAGAACAAGCTATCAACAAACTCAGAATGGTCAACAGATGCTCGCTGCCAGGTCTTTTGTGGTGCGCAGGAACTTTCATGACAACCGGCAAGCTCTGAGACCTTCTGGCTTCTCCGAATTGCACAGGAGTGCAGCCACTGCCTCTCACATTAACCAAGTGCACCAGATCTGAACTTGGAGCCGTTTTTGCAGCAACTTTTGGGTTTAGGGTTTACTGTAGAGTCCAAGAGTAATCAACAGTAATCAGAGAACCCACACGCGCGTTATCATGACAGCGATCCTGGCTCCGGCTGTGGGCATGGAATCGGTGAAGGCGAGGTGGGAGCAACTGATGTAGGGTTGTAGAGCCGTAGACGGCTAGGATTGAAAATGTTGAACTTTCGTACCCCGCATCCTGATGTAATCCTTATAAAGCCAGAAAAAAGTTTTGCCCCCAAACCTACCCTGGCCGTAGGGTCACGGGTCCATGGGTTGCTACTGGTAGTGCACTGGCCCCTAAACCCTAAACCCTAAACCCGAAACCCTAAACCCTACTGTTAGTGCACTGACTCATCGGATACATCTGCGAGCACTCGGAGGGCGATGCGTCTGCAGTCTTGGATTTGCCTTGCATGTCTTCTAGCAAAGCTTACACAAGGGGCATTATGACAGTCAATGCTTACTATACATAGATGCATGTACTGTATATATGTAAATGACAATATGTGTATATAAATATTTTCTATACATATATGAGTATATATGTGATATGTAGTGTATGTTGATGTCCGCATCTGTATACTTACCTATCATTTATGGGAGAGAAGGATATACTAGTCGTGTGGATCTTGCTACCCATATCACTGCCCGGGACCAAGTTCCCTATGCGAAGGACTTCCACCACAACGCCCAGCGCTGGTGTTTGAAAACGTCAGTCGGCAGTTCATCCGCCATTTTGCCTAAACCCTCTCCTTCTCACTGGATCCTGTTCAATCTCATACCCTTTTAAGCTCAGACGCAGAAGCTGTTGGTCCAAGAACAGCGAGTTATACGGGGAGTGAAGAGACGGCGGCGCAGGTCTGCGCTGGTCGCTTAGCCACCCACTCCCGGCTTTCTGAAGCTGGGTCGCCATTAGGGAACTGAAGTTAAGTTCATAGTCAGTCGAAATTAGTTGACATGGTGTCCCGTTTATGAAAACCAAACATAGGCCCTTAACAGCAACCCAGGAGAGGGTGCCACAGCATGCTGCACGGCACCGTGAGGCGTCACCTGCACAGGCACGGGAGGTAATTGTTTCGGATTGACTCCACTGTACTTGGAAGCCCGTAGGACCCCTTTAAATAGAGAAAGGGAAGACAGTAGGGCTGCCAACTACGAATTTCAGGGTTCAAACTGGGGGCTGGACTTAGAGGCCGATAGAGGGCTGATGGATTGGTGTCACAGGCTTGGCCCGGATGTGCCGATGTTGTGGTAAACATGCAGCGGGCGGTCAGCTAGCAAACGGAAGGCACTGCCTCCAGTCATTAAGATGGTTTGGGACCGGATGCAGTCCGTGAGGAGAGATTGTGGCGACTCCTCGGCTCCTCCATAGCCATCACTGCGGCGCCGCGCTCTCAGGCAGGCTAGCCACAACAAGCATTGCTGAAGGAAGGAGTCTGAGCAGCTATAGGCACATGGGTGGTCGTCAAAATTATGATCCCTTTTGGGGTACCCTATAAATTTTTTAGGTGCCGTCCTATAATATGGATCCGAAAAGGGGCCATAATGTTGACAACCACCCACAAATGTCCTGTGTTGCCTTTACGACACGGAAAAGACGCACTTAACCTTGACTTCTCCTCCTGCACCTCAGCTGTTGAGACCGAGCACCTGCCTATACCCCGAGGCCCAATCGGCTGAAACTCTTGTAGGCTCGTTCCCGCTTTGCCCTCAGAAGCAGGGATTCGTCGGGTTTTCGCCGCCCTCACAAGTAGCGGTAGGCTCGTTCCCGCAGTTTTAAGCCAGCTCAGCGCTGCTGCAGCTTCCCCCGAAATATCTTCCGTGGGCTAAAACTCTCGAAGCCCAAGACGTTGCCTTCAAGCTTGCCAGGGCGCGCGGTCTCATCGAGTTCGCCGGCTCTGCAAGCCTGTCCAAAGAATGCGCGAGCAGGACTGCCTGACATTCCAGGGAGAATTGCTGGGGGCTGCGGTTGAGGTTGAGGACAGATCCTTCCTGGGACAACAAGTGGGTGGGGGTTGGGACGTCATCACTACTGCTCCCGTAAGTGGCTACCTAAAAGAAGGCACAACTCGGTGCGATGATGCTATTCAAAGTATTTAACCGTGCATCTTGTGGAAGCCTCTTTGCCACTGCAGGCGCCAGAGTTCCAACAAGCACACTCAACTCCACGCAGTCAGTCCGGTTCAGATGGCAGTCCCAAAGTGTCCATGTACCTACGTATAGAAGGGGTTCCCACATAGTAGCTTCAGGGCCCAAGTATATCCCTAAACCCGAAACCCTAAACCCCAAACCCTAAACCCCAAACCCTAAACCCCAAACCCTAAACCCCAAACCCCAAACCCTAAACCCTAAACCCTAAACCCTAAACCCTAAACCCTAAACCCTAAACCCTATACATGGACCCCTGGGGAGTGAAGGCGGAGCAGCTGGTCAGCGACCAGAAGGCTCTGCGGATGGGAAATGGCGATCTGGAGTCACTGATCTCAGAGGTGGGGCCGGCAGTCTTGCTGTTGGTTAGTAGGGAATCAGGGAATGAGGGCCCTATATGTATATATATATATATACATATTTCTACATGTATATATATGTATATATATATATATATATGTACCCTTTAAGGGATTATATAGGGCACCTCATTCCCTGCTAACCAAGAGTAAGCAGTTGGGGAAGTTGGGGAGGCATGCGAAGGCGTGGGGGAGTGAAGGGACGTCGTGAAGATTGCTGCGGTGCTTTGTGTGCTGGCCCAAGAGACTTCAGCTGTAAGCCATGTTTTTCCTTGAGGAGGAGCGCGAGAAGATGAGCGCAAAGGCCGACACGCTGCAGCCCTATAGGCTGGGGGACCAGTTGCGTGGGCCTTCGGCTTGGATCTGGCTCCGAAAATCTTGTAGCAGACTCTGCGGTAGGTTCTTCTCAGCGCTTGGGCAAGTGAAGAATGCGCGCACCGCCTAGGGCTTAGGGCTTAGGGCTTAGGGTTTCGGGTTTTTTGGGTTTAGGGTTTAGGGTTTAGGGTTCAAGGTTTAGGGTTTAGGATTCAGGGTTTAGACGTACCCGGTCCACACTTCCATTTGCACAGGCAGTACGTGTTTTTCGCTGCCTCCGTTCTCATTCTCGGTGCGGGCAACGACTTGCGCCTTCCTCAGCGATAGCTCTTGAAAGTGGAACACTGGAACAGCACGCTTGTTGGCTTGAGGCCTGTGAAGTGACAGCAGCTGCGTTTCGTGCTGTCTTGTGACCACGTGCTCCAGGTTTTGGCTGGTCTGTCAGCCCTCTTTCTTCACAAAGGGGTTCCTTCCCTCGGGGAGCACAGACGACTCGCAATTCCAGCGGTTGCTCCTGATCCTTGGCTTGGCAGCGGTTGGGGCAGGCAGGAAGCACCATGAGACCGTTTAATGGCTGAGTAGTCAGGAGAACTTTGGTGCAAGTCCATAGTGCTGCTTGAGTTGCTCGGAATCTGCAGGGCAGCATGCACCCAGACCTGCCAGGCTTGTATTACTTGGGGAGTGTGGTCCTCGCACCTGCCGAGCTGCCAAGCGTGGAGAGGGTCCTCAATGAGGAGGAGTCCGTTGGATCTGTTGAGGAGGCTGGGGCCACGCACATGCCAACTATTGCCATGCTTCCTGAACAGATTGGCTCCTCACCGGAACTCTCTTCGAATTCCAGGGCATCCATTCGATTCACCACACATGTGAGCCTGCTGACCCTAAACCCTAAACCCTAAACCCTGAACCCTAAACCCTAAACCCTGAACCGTATGCAGGTGAAGGAAAGCCGAATGTTTTACCGACTGCAGGGAAGGTCGCTGGGCCGCAGTGTTGTCCGGGCCCTCCGCACTGCTCCCTCAGCAGTCCAAGGTTGCATCCCCTGCGATGGGCTTCGGCCGGAAGAACCATAAAGTCGTTTACGGTTTAGGGTTTAGGGTTTAGGGTTTACTTTAGACTCCGGAAGTGAGAGAAAAGAGAAAGCGAAGCTGGTCCGAGGTGGTATTATGGCCTAAACTTGGGCCAGAGCTACACGATCTCAAAGTGCGGCGATGGAAGCTGGAGATTCGAAGAAGAGCTCGCTGGGAGAAAGTGCACGTCGACTCTGCGGGTTGTAGGGGACTGGGTGGAGGGCCATCTCATTGATCAAGAAGGCCAGCGGACGGGAACCATTCGCCTCCAAAGGGGGGAAGGCAACTCAGTCCTCTCCTATTTCCGGGACCTTGGCAGCTCCAACTGGTCGAACCCGAACGAGGCGATCGGCTGGTAGCCATAGGAATGCGGGCCGGAACTTCGGACCACTGTTACCTGTGCATCGCGGCCACTTTCACCCCATCTCCAGCACCCGACACTGATACATGACGCACCTTAGTGGCTTCAAAAGGCGCTGATTTTCTGCCTACAGCATGGCATGAACGATAAACTTCTGATCTTCCAAGGAGTCAACTCCATGCATGCTTTTCAGACGAAGAAGACGTCTCATTTTCCAGCTCTGTGATCTTGCATCGAGGTGCAAATCATTCAACCATTGTCCGCTATGCCAGCAGCAATGTTCAGAATCCCGTACAAAGCCAATCGGCAAGGACATCAAAATGATGTCACGGGTTTTGCACCTTCTGACTGGAGGCTTCCAACATCAGAAAGGCAGCGAGCAAGAAGGAGTGTATTCTCCTTGCCCTACATAGAACCCTTGAACCTTCCAGCACACTGTGTCAGCAGCATTGTGGGCTCCCCTCCCATATCCTGGCCGGATGCCGAGAGTAACCTCACTGCGTGCTATTGGGGATCTAAGGGGCTCTTTAAGGCGTGTGGCTTTTCAGGCTGATGTGCCAACAAAAGCTCCAGATGTCTATGCATTAGTAACATGGTTCATCCAGAACTAGGAACTAGTTTGGCACAGTACCTCGAGAGATGCTCTTCGAAGACTGCATGGCAAACAATGTGCCCAGAACCAGCTGGACATACCAACAGCCCCAAGCGATGAAAGGAGGTTGTGGCACCTGGGTCGACAAGCGTGAACCTTCTTGCCCTGTCCTTCAAGAAACAGCTGTAGTCTAGGTTTCCTGAGCTGCCCATATCAGTAAATACTTCACATGGCAAGAGTACCACGACTTGCAGTCATCGCAGATTCTTTTTCAACCGGGATAAGTTAACCTGAGCCTTTGCCTAAGGACCCCGGTACAGCTTCTTAAGACACCAGGCTGATTCTCTTTCATTCTGCCTTTGCATGGCGTATGGGGGTTTACGACTACGATAATGAAGGACCCTGAATACAAAACCACAAATAGTAAGTAGGATCCCCTTGTTAGAAGGACCCCAAGAAGGTACCCAATACCGTAAACCCCCCCAACTGATTTACAGATTTGATGGATAGAAAAGCGCCCCTTCTCTGCCATGGCGGGCATCCCGCATTCCATGCATTCGCATGCGGCCCACCATGGACATACGGCCTCCCGACCTACCGATCTCTTCAGCTTCGCAGAGAAGGAGCACGACGAGGAGCCGGAGGTTGGGCAAACTGGCCTCATGGCCCTTGGGACGACATTGCTGGCATCCGGAGAGCTTGAGTTCGATGAAGACCTCACGAAGGTCCAGCAGGATGAGGCCCTGTATAGTGCCGTGAACACCATGAAGCGTCACAAGACGATCACGTACGACGACATTGTTTTATCCCGAGGAGTCAAGCAGAACGTTTACCTGGAATACATCAAGTTTGAGATCGACAATGAGAACACCTTTCTGGAGTTGCCTCTCACTGTCGTGGTGCTGGTTTCCTTCACGATTCTTGCGCTAAACATACTGCACCAGGAACAGCTCTATGCCATAGAGGAGGCATTCGAACGAGACATCACCGAGAACGCAAATTTTGCTTGGAGCGGAGACTTTGGACACAAAGGTATCGATCAGGTGCTTTCTGTCGCTGACTTCTGGTCATGGATGCGGCTAGGATTCCTGTCCCTGCTAGCAAGGTAGGGGCTTGTCAAAATCAGTGACCAATCCTGCTTTCACATCCTCCCTATAGGGTTTAGGGTTTAGGGTTTACAAGGCGTCAATTCATAGCTTCTGTTCTGAGCGTCACGTACGTCATGCAGTTGCAAGAAATAAGGGAAGGGTGAGCGGGCTGCAGCTCTTCTTTGTACATGTTGTCGACGTACCTGATGCATTAGCTCTCGATTGGACTCTATCGGTTCCTGCCGGGCTGTCCCATCAGTCTAAACCCTAAACCCTGAACCCTGAACCCTAAACCCTAAACCCTAAACCAGATCCTGTCTCCCTCATGAGGTCTCAGTGGCTTTACAGCGAGACGGCGCCCGAGGCTCTTGGTGGCCCGGTCACTGCCGGAACCTCCTACAATGTGAGACTTGGTAGCCCATTGGTACCCTTTTCCCGTTTTTGGGGTTTAGGGTTTAGGGTTTAGGGTTTAGGGTTTAGGGTTTAGGGTTTAGGGTTTAGGGTTTAGGGTTTAGGGGTAAAAAAGGGACCTACTAAGGAGCTTGTTGCCAGCGTCTTGGCTCTTTGCGGGCTATGAGAAGCCGGCACCGGTTGCGAACGACTACCTCCAGTACTCCAAGCTTGTTAGCGGCGTTCGGATGAGGCAACTATATCCCCCTTTTTGGCATTTTTTGCTTTTTTTTTACAAAATCTGTTTGTATAACACCAAGAGGATCTTCAAGATATCAAGTGTGTATTAAGGTTCTAAGGGGAGTATAGGCAAGCAGTGTCAGCCGCTGACTCGCAACTCTGCATCTTCCCGAACAGCCTGGACCCGCAGCTTGAGAATGGCTGGCTCCGGAAGCCTTGTTTTCCATCGGAGTTGGGCTTGCTGTCCCCGGAGCTCCAAGAGGCCGAAGGTTTTCAGGGTTTGGAGCGCGAAGAGTTTTTGTTTCCAGATCTCTCGAGCATAAGCGAAATGACTCGGAAGATCTTGGACATGGAGGATGGGTGCCACTCCTCGTCTTTTGTAAGTAGCAGCTGCCTTTGCAACTGGTGCCAAGGGCAAACGCCACCTCAGCCCTGGATAGATGAACGGACCGCGCGCATTGAAATCAGCATGTTGCTGTTCAATCCTCAATATGGGTCTTATACCTACGTGTCGGTGAATTTTATGCTGAATCGCGGTGGGCATATTCATGCCTTCTCACATTCCCTATCTGCATTTGTGAGTCCATTTCAGAGACCTTTTTGGGAGCTGGTCCTGACGGTCATTGCTGCACTACTGTGGGTTGCTGCTCTGCTGTACGCATCTGTGGCTGAGATCTGGGAGATGATTCACACAGTGCGTCAGTCAAGCAACCGCTTCTACCGAGCACTCTGGCAGGAGTATCTGGGCTTCTGGAATTTTGTTGACTGGGCATCTGTGCTCGTTGGCACGCTCACCATTGGCTTTTGGATACTTTGTGGTGCTTTACTGTATCTTCTTTAGCCTTTTTGGGTTTGTTGGGTTAAGAAACCAAGGCAGCTAAAAGTTAAATGTATAGCTACCCTGCTAAGCAAGGATTCAAGGGCGCCTGGCCGTCGCCGCCGTGAATGAGCTGTTGCCCTCCATGATCCAAGCCAGTCTTGCGCCAGATGCGGGCTATGAAGCCTTGGCGCGAAGCGTCTTCGCACGCGCCGAGGTCATGAGCAAGGCCAAGAAAGACATGGAGTTCCAGATGATGGTCTATCCCCTGATCATCATGCTTAGGATCTTTCGCTCCTTCGAAGCCCAGCCACGGCTGGCCATCGTCACCGCTACGCTGAAGACGGCAGCTCCGGATTTGGCACACTTCTTCATGATCTTCTGGTGCGTCTACTTCTGCTTCGTCGTCAGTAGCCTGCTCTTCTTCGGGCAAGACCTGGAGAGTTTTAGCACACTCGACCGGGCCCTTCACACCTCTTTCCTTGCAATGTTTGGAGACTGGGACTGGGTTGGGCTGAGAGATGTTGGTATGATGAGGTCCGCTGCGTGGTTTTGGCTCTTCATGATCGTGATGGTCCTCTTCCTTCTGAACATGCTCCTGGCCATCATCATGGACGCCTATCAAGTGGAGAAGTTTAAGGCCTCCGACACGACCACACTCTGGCAGCAGATTCTTGACATGATCCAGCGATGGCGACAGTACAAGAGGGGTGAGTGCGTGCGACTGGCCGACATCTTTGAGGTGTGGGTGGATCAAAAGCCATGGGCCTTGGATAGCCCAAGCTGTATGTAGCATGAGGGGAAAGTTAAGTAGTGGTAGAGACCCCCAAGCTGTGCCTTTGATTTTGATGAAGCTCCAGGTGTTTCGGAAGGAGTACAAGGGGAAGGAGAAGGAGATGATGTCGAGCGAGCGCGCCATCTCTGTTGAGTTCCTCGTCACGCGGGTGACGCGCATGCCTTACAAGCAGGCCTACAAAACCCTGGTCGATGCACTGAAAAGGGATGAAGAGCTGCTTGGCATTCTTGTAAGCAGTGCCTGCTTCAGTGCTCTCTTCTCGTCGCTTGGAGCTTCCTTAAGACGCGTTGAGTACGAGTCCTTCGGCAGAACATCGCAGAACTAAGGCTGAGGAATGGGTTTATGAGCGAGGAGCAGGTGAACAAGCAAGTGCAGTCCACTTTGGAGGCCTTTGCTTTGAAGATCAAAGCAGTCTTGGAGGACGTGGAGTTTGTTGCAGATCAGCTGGATTTCTGGGACCGGCTGCAAGCGCCCGGCGACTCTGAGTACGACTTCTACTTTGGTGCAGAAGGCCACACTCCGGATGAGGCATCCAAGCTTTGGATTCACAACTCCATCTCCTCAATATCTGTGGAGCTGCAGCATCTCTTCGCCAGAGGCTTGCAAAGAATTGGTGTCTGGCAAGACGAGTTTGAGTGTGAGCAGAGCGAGCTGAACGAGAATCTCTTGGAGGTTCACCTGGACCTTCTAAAACCCCCAAACCCAAACCCCAAGAACCAAACCCTAAACCGTAAGCTCTTGAAGGTTCACCAGGCCATGCTACAGTTGCAGGATGCCGTGCAGAACCTGCCCCTCGGCTGGGATCACGGTGTCCAGGGCCAGGGTGAACAGCGCCTCAATACGAGGGTTACAAGTACTGCCACTGCTATGATTACAGCGAGAATTGCAGATTGGCTTTTGGCCGCCGCTTGACATCAGCACTTGCGAACAGCAACTACATCAAACACACATAGACACATGCACGCGCGCGCCCGCACGCACCTACGCACGAGTGCTAGCTGTATCTGAATTCAGGTCCTCCACGGTCCTGAGTAGTCCTCAATGCTGGAGGGCTCTCACGCCATGGGAGACCTAGAGCGTCTGCGATCACTATTCCGAGGCAAGTCATCGTCGACTCCATGGACGGCAACAAGGAAGAAGCGCCCAACCCGCCTGGTTGATCCAGGCCACATGTTGCCGACCGCAGGCGCACAAAGTCTGGCGCCTAAAACTTGGGCACGATCGCATCCGTCAGTTTCACCAGGCAGATGCTTTAAAACCAAAGCATTGCCGGCCTCTCTCACCGCGCTATGTTCACAAAGGATGCAAGGCCGCGGGAGAATTACGTGCGCTTCCGCCAAGTAGGGAGTCGCGACACTGCGTGTGTGTGAGATATAAGGCAATGACCTTGCAGGCTTCAGCAACTTTCTCCATCAATGAGTCTCTAGATATACATATATGTACAGATATGATATGTATGCAACATCTGCATGATAACAATGCAGCCTGTATCATTTTGGTATGTACGTGCATAGCTGGTTATATACATATATATATACATATATTTATGTATCTATTTATCTGTTTATCTGGGACTAACATGTGATCACAACGAGCGCATGCGCTGTTAACATGTGCTTGCTGCCACGATGGACGGTAAACGCATGTTTCTTGAAGTCCCCTGTGCGCGCAGACAGCCTCGTGGCTCAGATCCTCCATAAGACTCCACAGCAGCCGTTTGCTGTTTTGTGTCGAGTGCGCGTCTCAGGTTGTGGTTGGGGCTTGCTGTGCGACCAAAACCTTCATGAGAGGCACTTTGCGGCCACTGCCATGTCCAACACGGCCTGCTACCCATCTTACCCTGGGACTTCTTGCCGAGTGCGCTCTGAGTGCAAGTATTGTGCAATTGGAACGAGCCCTGGGACGCTCGCAGGCGTCACTGAACGTGGGACATGCCAGCTGGCTGGAGGACTTGGGTGAATAAGAACGAATAAGACAAAAAAAGCCCGAGAGCCGACACCGAAGAGATGTCAGGAGGAATTCTGGCAGAGCCCGCGACCCAGACTGGGATTTCGCCATGTTTTTTTTGCAAGGCACTCCAGGAAATTGCCAGCAACGCACACCCGTTTTCCTGAGGTGCCCAAGACGCCTACGGTGGCTTCCTTTTCAAAGAGGCTGGAGAGAGTTTGAGGGTTGAAGGTTTCGAGACAAAGACAGGTCAAACAAGCACAGTAGCCAAAGCAAAAACGAAAAGACTATAGGGAGGAAGCAGAAAAAGCGTTCAGAAAGAAAAGAAAGCCTTCCGAAGGAGATTCCACGGCAGGGCAAGACCCTGTCTCCGGCATACTCCGGCACTAAGCTGTTTCGGGTTGAGGGATGTCTACTGTACTGTAGTGCTTCCGTAGGATGTATGGGCTCGGTTCATCGTAATTTTTGTTGGTGTGCAGGGAATCGTGTAAGTCAGCTGAGCTCTTCACGGGCCCATCACGGCAAAACGGCCCGGGAATTGCAAAAAATTGCCTGTCGAGGCGGCCCGCTTGCAAACGTCACCCAGCACTTTCCTGTTTTCCAGGCTGACCTCACGGAAGCCCCCAAACAAATGAGTGAGCTTTGTTGAGCCGAGCAATTGGCCATCCTCTTCTTCCAGAGGACCTCCTTTTATCACTGAGGCCCAGACACAGAGAGAGGGGGGTGTAGGATTTCTCATCATGTAACTTTGCACAAGAAGATGTGGGCGTTCTGAAAGACCCTTGAGCTCAGGATGGCCACTGTGACGGCCCGTCTCCCAGATGCCACAGGAACCTCACCGCTGCAATGTAGAAGCTTGACAAAGAGGGCTCAAACTGGTACTGGTACTGGTACTGAAGCTGTCCTTGAATTGCGCGGACTTAGGGAGGCCGAGCTGCCGGGTGGTGGTCGCTCCAGCCTGAGCCGTGCAAGGATCCGCTGTTTTGCAAAGCTGGAGGCATATAGGCCCACTATATGCATGAACACACGGGTTCAGCTCAAAAGCATCCTGTCTTGCTGAGGTCCTGCCGGCCCTCGGCCGCACCGTGACGGTCGGCTTTGAAGAGGCGAAGCTGCGGGGGCCGCGGAGCCGCCAAGAGAACATTCCGAGCACGGCATGAAATGTTTGGCAGTTTCTGCTGGTATCGACATTCCGCTTCATTCCGTTTCCCATCAGGTCAGTGGCACAACGGGTGTGGCAAATCGAGCAGGCGCCGCGAAGCGCCTTCTGGCTACTTGTACGTTCTCTCTCCCCCATGCCCCTTCCACGCTGCCAGGCGGCTTCGAAGAAGACTTCGCAGCCCGTCTTGTTAGGAAGGGCCGCGCCCGTAGTTACGCCCGTCCAGGGGGACAAGTCGTGGCTCCGATAGACACCTGGTTAGATCCGCAAATGCACCAAAAACACACTGCCATCGTGTGTGTGCGTGTGTGTGTGCATCAAATTTTCTCTGGAAGATTGGAGCCATTTTTGACGAGTCCTTGCTAATGATTTTGTTAGTCACGTTAGAACTTTAGAACTGCATCGCGACAGAATGTCCGTCGATGCTCATGTTTCCCCTCGCGGCTGCGAGTTTGCTTGATCGATGACGCGCATTGTGTTCATTTCTGTGTTGCTGCTGTTCGGTTAAGAATGGTCGGGTTCAAGGATAGCAAGGAGATATGCTGATTTGTTGCAAACGCCGAGCCTTTCCTAAGCATTTGAAGAGCTCCATTTATTTCTTTCAGATGCCGCCATTCCCAGAAGAAAATAGGGCGACAGCCGCGTTCCACAAGGGATATGGCTGGAGGGTGTTTTCGAGAGTTGTGTTCATCATAAGGCTCCCCCCAGAAAAGGAAGCATGTCCTGGGGTATCGGTATCGATGTTACTTGCTTGCGTTTGGCACATCTCGCGGTAGGGCTTGGATTTCAGCAGCTCTCTCAGGCCTTCATAGGTTTGCACGTCGCTTTCTGCGGAACTCTGGAAGCGGAGCTCGGTTATAGCTGCAAAATGCCCGTAGGAGCCATCAACATTGAGGATCCTTAAAGGGTTTGGAACTGGTTTCTCCTTCAAGAAGTCTAGCTCGATGGGCAGCAAACGCATGTTTCTTGAAGTCCCCTGTGCGCGCAGACAGCCTCGTGGCTCAGATCCTCCCATAAGACTCCACAGCAGCCGTTTGCTGTTTCGTGGAGTGCGCGTCTCAGGTTGTGGTTGGGGCTTGTTGTGCGACCAAAGTCACTGTTGCTCGAAACCATCCTGCATTCCGCTACCTGCGGCTGCCGTCTCTACTCGTAGAAGCTTGACAAGCGTCTGCGCCTTCAGGCTCGACGCGGCCACCGCGATGTCCAGCATGGCCTGCTACCCATCTTACCCTGGGACTTCTGCCGAGTGCTCTGAGTGCAATTATGTGCAACTGGCAGTTCAGCGAGGCTCATCCCAGCTGGCTGGAGGACTTGAGTGAATAAGACAGAAAAGCCCGACAGCTGATACCGAAAAGATGTCAGGAGGACTGCTGGCAGAGCCCGCAACCCAGACTGGGACTTCCCAACATTTTTTGCGAGGCACTCCAGCAAATTTACCCGCGATGCCCGTTTGCCTGAGGTTTGCAGGACGCCTACGGTGGCTTCCTGTTCAACGAGGCTGGAGAGAGCGACGGTGTCCCCTGTACAAGGGTTTGATGGTTGAAGGTTTCGAGACAAAGACAGGTTAAACAAGTACAGTATCCTAGGCAGAAACGAAAAGAGTATAGGGAGGAAGCAGACAAAGCGTTCGGAAAGAATTCTCCGAAGGAGATGCCACGGCAGGCCAAGACCCTGAGTCCGGCATACTCCGGCCCTAAGCTGTTTCGGGCTGAGGGATGTTTACTGTGTGGCTTGCGGCTTGCGGCTTACATGGGAATTATGGGCTCGGTTCATCGTATTTTTCTTTGGTGCGCTGTTGGTCCCGCATGGCCAGGGAATCGTGTAAATTAGCTGAGCTCTTCACGTGCCCATCACGGCAAAACGGCCCGGGAATTTCTCAAGTGCGTGTCAAGGAGGCCCGCTCTCACTTTGCAAACGTCACCCAGGCCTCACCGGAGTCCCCAAGCAAATGCGTGAGCTATGTTGAGCCGAGAAATGAGAGAGAGCGAGAGGGGTGTAGGATTTCTCATCCTGTAATTTTCAAGAAGACGCAGGCGTTCTGAAAAACCCTTGAGCCGTCAGCAGGATGGCCATCGTGACGGCCCGTCTCCCAGATGCCACAGGAACCTCATCGCTGGTACTGGTAGCTGCCTGAAGCTGTCCTTGTTTGCGCGGACTTAGGAAGGCCGGGCAGCCGGGTGGTGGCCGCTCCAGCCTAAGCCGTGCAGGATCCGCTTTCGCAAAGCTGCTGGAGGCATATAGGCCCACTATATGCATGAACACACGGGTTCGGCTCAAAAGCATCCTGTCTTGCTGAGGTCCTGCCGGCCCTTGGCCGCACCGTGACGGTCGGCTATGAAGAGGCAAAGCTGCGGGGGCCGCGGAGCCACCAAGAGAACATTCCGAGCACGGCATGGCAGTGTTTGCCAGTTTCTGCTGGTATCGACATTCCGCTTCCCATCAGGTCAGTGGCACAACGGGTGTGGCAAATCGAGCAGGCGCCGCGAAGCGCCTTCTGGCTACTCGTACGTTCTCTCCCCCCCATGCCCCTTCCACGCTGCCAGGCGGCTTCGAAGAAGACTTCGCAGCCGGTCCTGTTAGGAAGGGCCACGCCCGTAGTTGCGCCCGTCCAGAGGGACAAGTCGTGGCTCCGATAGACACCTGGTTAGATCCGCAAATGCACCAAAATCAATTAATGCCATCGTGGGTGTGTGTGTGTGTGCATCAAATCTCTCTGGAAGATTGGAGCCTTCTGACTGGTCCGTGCTAATGATCTCGCTAGAAACGTTAGAACTTTAGAACTGCATCGCGACAAAATGTCCGCCGATGCTCATGTTTCCCCTCGCGGCTGCGAGTTTGCTTGGTCGATGACGTGCTTTATGTTCATTTCCACGTTGCTGCTGTTCGGTTAAGAATGGCCGGGTTCAAGGATAGCGTGGACATATGTTGATTTGTTGCAAACGCCGAGCCTTTCCTAAGCATTTGAAGAGCTCCATTTATTTCTTTCAGATGCCGCCATTCCCAGAAGAAAATAGGGCGACAGCCGCGTTTCATAAGGGATATGGCTGGAGGGTGCTTTCGAGAGCTGTATTCATCATAGGGCTCCCCCCAGAAAAGGAAGCATGTCCTGGGGTATCGGCATCGATGTTACTTGCTTGCGTTTGGCACATCTCGCGGTAGGGCTTGGATTTCAGCAACTCTCTCAGGCCTTCATAGGTTTGCACGTCGCTTTCTGCGGAACTCTGGAAGCGGAGCCCGGTTATAGCTGCAAAATGCCCGTAGGAGCCATCAACATTGAGGATCACTAAAGGGTTTGGAACTGGCTTCTCCTTCAAGAAGTCTAGCAGTCTAGCTCGATGGGCAGCAAACGCATGTTTCTCGAAGTCCCCTGTGCGCGCAGACAGCCTCGTGGCTCAGATCCTCCATAAGACTCCACAGCAGCCGTTTGCTGTTTCGTGGAGTGCGCGTCTCAGGTTGTGGTTGGGGCTTGTTGTGCGACCAAAGTCACTGTTGCTCGAAACCATCCTGCATTCCGCTAGCTGCAGCTGCCGTCTCTACTCGTAGAAGCTTGACAAGCATCTGCGCCTTCATGAAAGGCGACGCGGCCACCGCGATGTCCAGCATGGCCTGCTACCCATCTTACCCTGGGACTTCTGCCGAGTGCTCTGAGTGCAATTATGTGCAACTGGCAGTTCAGCGAGGCTCATCCCAGCTGGCTGGAGGACTTGAGTGAATAAGACAGAAAAGCCCGACAGCTGATACCGAAAAGATGTCAGGAGGACTGCTGGCAGAGCCCGCAACCCAGACTGGGACTTCCCAACATTTTTTGCGAGGCACTCCAGCAAATTTACCCGCGATGCCCGTTTGCCTGAGGTCTGCAGGACGCCTACGGTGGCTTCCTGTTCAACGAGGCTGGAGAGCGCGATGGTCCCCCCCATACAAGGGTTTGAGGGTTGAAGCTTTCGAGACAAAGACAGGTCAAACAAGCACAGTAGCCTAGGCAGAAACGAAAAGACTATAGGGCTGACTCCGGCCCTAAGCTGTTTCGGGCTTAGGGATGTCTACTGGAGTGCTTCCGTAGGATGTATGGGCTCGGTTCATCGTGTTTTTTTTGGTGTGCTGTTGGTCCCACATGGCCAGGGAATCGTGTAAGTCAGCTGAGCTCTTCACGGGCCATCACGGCAAAACGGCGCGGGACTTTCGCAATTGCGTGTCGAGGCCCACTCTCACTTGCAAACTTCACCCAGCATCCAAGCAAATGAGTGAGCTTTTTTGAGCCGCGAAATGAAAGAGAGAGAGAGAGAGGGGTGTAGGATTTCTCATCATGTAGTTCTTGCAAGAAGATGTAGGCGTTTGAAAAACCCTTGAGCCGTCAGCAGGATGGCCACCGTGACGGCCCGTCTCCCAGATGCTGCAATGTAGAAACTTGACAAAGAGGCACAAACAGGTACTGGCAGCTGCCTGAAGTGGCCTGAAGCTGTCCTTGTTTGCACGGACTTAGGAATGCCGTGCAAAGTGGTGGCAGCTCCAGCCTGAGCTGCGCAAGGATCCGCTTTTGCATACGTGCTGGAGGCATAGGCATGAGCACACAGGTCAAAAACGTCATATCTTGCTGAGGTCCTGCCGGCCCTTGGCCGCACCGTGACGGTCGGCCACGAAGAGCTGAAGTTGCGGGGGCCGCAGAGCCACCAAGAGTTCCGGGACATTCTGAGCGCGGCGTTGCAGTGTTTGGCAGTTTCTGCTGGTATCGGCATTCTGCTTCATTCCGCTTCCCATCAGGTCAGTGGCACAACGGGTGCGGCAAATCGAGCAGGTGCTGCGAAGCCGTCCTGGCTACGTTTTTACTCCCCCATGCCCCTTCCACGCTGCCAGGCTGCTGCGAAGAAGACTTCGCAGCGCGTCTTGTTAGGAAGGGCCACGCCCGTCCGGGGTGACACGTCGTGGCTCCGATAGACATCTGTTTAGGTCAACAAATGGGCCAACAACCACGCCGTCGTTTGAGCGTGTCAAATGTCGCTGGAAGATTGGAGCCATTCTGACGAGTCCTTGCCAAGCTAATGATCTTGTTAGAAACATTCAAACTTTTAAAGTTGCATCGCGACAGAATGTGCGTCGATGCTGATGCTTCCCCTCGCGGCTGCGAGTTTGCTTGGTCAATGACGTGCGTTATTGTTCATGTCTGCATTGCTTCTGATCGTTTAAGAATGGTCGGGTTTAAGGATAGCAAGGAGATATGTTGATTTGTTCAAATCGCTGAGCTTGTCCCGAGCATTTGAAGAGCTTCATTGATTTCGTTTCAGATGCCGCCATTCCCAGAAGGAAATAGGGCGACAGCCGCGTTCCAGCATGATATTGCTGGAGAGTGTTTTCGAGAGCTGTGTTCATCATGGGGCTCCCCCCAGAAAAGGAAGCATGTCCTGGGGTATCGGTATCGATGTTACTTGCTTGCGTTGCGTTTGGCACATCTAGCGGTAGGGCTTTGATCAGCAGCACTCTCAGGCCTCCATAGGTTTGCACGTCGCTTTCTGCGGAACTCTGGAAGTGGAGCCCGGCTAGCTACAAAATGCCCGTAGGAGCCATCAACATTCAGGATCCTTAAAGGGTTTGGAACCGGTTTCTCCTTCATGGGCAGCAAACGCATGTTTCTTGAAGTCCCCGGTGCAGACAGCCTCGTGGCTCGGAGAGTAGATCCTCCCCAAGACTCCACTGCAGCCGTTTGCTGTTCGTGGAGTGCGCGTCTCAGGTTGTGGTTGGGGCTTGCTGTGCGACCAAAGTCACTGTTGCTCGAAACCATCCTGCATTCCGCTAGCTGCAGCTGCCGTCTCTATAAGCTTGACAAGCATCTGCACCTTCATGAGAGGCACGTTGCGACCACTGCTATGCCCAACATGGCCTGCTACCCATCTTACCCTCGGACTTCTGCCGAGTGCTCTGAGTGCAACTATTGTGCATCTGGAACGAGCCCTGGGACGCTCGCAGGCGTCGCCGACCGAGTGCCATCAAAGCTGGCTGGAGGACTTGGGTGAATAAGATAAGACAACAAAGCCCGAAAGCTGATATCACAAAGATGTCAGGAGGCTTTTTGGCAGAGCCCGCAACCCAGACGGGGATTTCCCGATTTCCCACAACATGCTTTGCGAGGCAAACCGGCAAATTGCCAGCGATGCACAGCCGCTTTCCTGAGGTTCCCAAGATGCGTACGGTGGCTTCCTGTTCAACGAGGCTGGAGCGACAGTCTTCCCCGGTACAAGGGCTTGAGGGTTGAAAATTTCGAGACAGAAGACAGGTCAAACAAGTACATCTGCCTAGGCAGAAACGAAAAGACTGCTATAGGGAGGAAGCAGAAAAAACGTTCGGAAAGAAGTCCTTCGGAGGAGATGCCTTGGTAAGACCCTGAGTCCGGCGTACTCCAGCCCTAAGCTGTTTTGGGGGCTGAGGGATGTTACTTGGCTTGAGGGTTTAGGGTTTAGGGTTTAGGGTTTAGGGTTTAGGGTTTAGGGCTTTAGGGCTTTAGGGTGGGAATTATGGGCTCGGTTCATCGTATTTTTGTTTGGTGCGCTCTTGGTCCTGCATGGCCAGGGAATCGTGTAAAAGTCAGCTGAGTTTTTCACGGGCCGCATATCGGCCCGGCAATGGATTTCGCAATTGCGTGTCGAGACGGCCCGCTCAAGCTCAAACCGTTAGACGTCACCCAGCATTTTGCCGGTTTCGGGCTGGCCTCACCGGAGCACCGGAGCCCCCAAACAAATGCGTGAGCTTGGTTGAGCCGAGAAATGAATGAGAGAGAAACGGGTGTAGGATTTCTCTTCATGTAAACTTTGCACAAGAAGATGTGGGCCTTCTGAAAGACCCTTGAGCTGTAATCAGGATGGCCACTGTGACGGCCCGTCTCCCAGATGCTGCAGTGTAGAAACTTGACAAAGAGGCTCAAACTGGTACTGGCAGCTGCCCGAAGCTGTCCTTGATTGCGCGGACGTAGGAACGCCCTGCAAAGTGGTGGCAGCTCCAGCCTGAGCCGCGCAAGGGTCCGCTTTTGCAAAGCTGGAGGCAAAGGCTGACAAACACACGGGTTGAGCTCAAAACCTCCTGTCTTGCTGAGTTTCTTGGGGCCCTGGGCCGCACCGTGACGGTCGGCCACGAGGAGGCGAAGCTGCAGGGGCCGCGGAGCCACAAAGAGCTGCGAGACATTCCGAGCACGGCATAGTGTTTGGCAGTTTTTGCTGGTATGGGCATTCCGCTTCATTCCGCTTCCCATCAGGTCAGTGGCACAGCGGGTGCAGCAAATCGAGCAGGTGCCGCGAAGTGCCTCCTGGCTACGTTCTTTCTCCCCGATGCCCCTTCCACGCTGCCAGGCTGCCACGAAGAAGACTTCGCACCCGGTCTTACTAGGAAGGGCCACGCCCGTCCGGAGCGACAAGTCGTGGCTCCAATAGACACCTGGTTAGATCCGCAAATGCACCAAAACAATTACCGCCATCGTGTGCGTGCGTCAAATATCTCTGGCAGATTGGAGCCTTCTGACTGGTCCGTGCTAATGATCTTGTTAGAAAGTTAGAACTTTAAAACTGCATCGCGACAAAATGTCTGCTCGATGCTCATGTTTCCCCTCGCGGCTGCGAGTCTGCTTGGTCGATGACGCGCATTGTGTTCATTTCTG